GGGTCTCCCTCGCGTGTGCAGGGTCCCAAAGCTTTGGGCTGTCCTCAACTGCTTTCCCGGGCCACAGGCAGGGAGCTGGATGGGAAGCGGGGCTGCCAGGATTAGAACCAGCGCCCATATGGGATCCCGGGCGTGCAAGGCGAGGACCTTAAACCACTGCACCATCGCGCCGGGCCCTAGACCATTCTTTTTTACTTTTGTCTTAAAGATACTTGTAAAAACAGATCTCTACGAATATGAGCCCACACCATTTCCCTAACTCACCCCCCCATTTTAACTCAGCATTGACCTTCTTCATTTTTAGCGGGAGGAGGACGGACCTCATTCTGTTTCCTTATCCCTGAAACAGCTCTTTAAAGTAGCAGTAGGGCTGAGAGCACCTGATGGATCACCAGGGCTTGCTGCACCCTCCAGCCCCGTGCTGCTCCCTTGGGACCCGTTTCACTCTCAGTGATCTGCTCCTAGGCAAACTCAGCGCTTTCACCTTTTTAGGCTCAAGACAAAGTTTGGAAAAACAGATCTACAAATATAACACCACCACACAGAAATGCATATATGTGTTTTTCTAACATATTGCTGTATGATTTTGAAACCTGCATTTCACAAACTGTAGACATTTATCACATCTTTAAAACACATATGAAAACCACAAAGCTTAAAACTTAAGTGCAGAAAACAGTGTAAATGTAGATTTACTCCTATCATAGGAATATTTTTAATGGCTGTGTATGTATCAGCAATGACCAGAGCATGACTGTCAGCATGTGTTTTTGGCTTTAATTTCTCTCACCTCTTTTGTGAATTAAGCCTTAGAAAGAAGTTAGTAACTGATACGTAACCTTTCAGCTTAAAGATGTAAGGGCTTTAGACTATCCAGGTCTTAAAATGACCTGAGTATATATACTAATTCATCATGACCTGTATTCTCTAGGCATTCTTAGAAATAAAATTCCTATTTCTATCTTCAGTTGGTTAGGGAAATGACTGCATTAAATTACACTGATGAGGTGGAGGTGTGCTTTGTACACTTTTTAGAGACAGATTCAAATAACATCAATAGTTTGTTTTTGTTTGTTTGTTTTGCAGGGATGGGAAATAAAGTGAAGCCGTTTTGTCACATGGATTTCAGCATGACGTCCTGAGATTCAGCTAAACATGACTGCTCTTTCTTCAGGAAACTGCTCTGCTCTGTACCAGTTACATCACACACACCAGCCCCTGGAAGCGAACTGTCTGCTCTTCTTGATCATACTGGGGAAAATACTGTTGAACACCCTCACACTAGCAATGAGAAGAAAAACCACCCAAGAAAACCTTCTGGGATGTTTTTGTATTTCTCTAGCACTTGTTGACCTTCTACTTTTGATAAACATTTCCATTATATCCTATTTCAGGGATTTTGTACTTTTGGGCATTCGGTTTACTAAGTACCACATCTGCCTGTTTACTCAAATTGTTTCCTTTGCTTATGGCTTTTTGCATTACCCAGTTTTCCTGACAGTTTGCATAGACTATTGGCTACATTTTTCTAAAACCACCACGCTGTCATTTAGATGTCAAAAGTTGCTTTATTTCTTTATAGTAGTTATAACTTGGACTGCAGTCCTGGCTTACGTTTTGGGAGAGCCGTCCATCTACCGCAGCCTAAAGACACAGAAAGGATTTTCTTACCAGTGTCCTTTCTACATCAGCAGTCAGAGCTACTGGTTATCGTTTGCCATGATGCTGGTTGTGCTTGCGGCCTTTATAACCTCTTGGTCAGAGGTCATCACCTTGGTGCAGGCTATTAGAATAACTTCCTACAGGAATGAGACCATCCTGTATTTTCCTTTTTTATCCCACTCTAGTTATAATGTGAACTCTAAGAAAACGCTCTTGCCTAAGCTCCTTGTCTGTTTTCTCGGGACCTGGCTACCATTTGTCTTACTTCAAGGAATCATCCTTTTACTTAAAGTACAGATACCAGCCTATATAGATCTGAACATCCCGTGGTTGTACTTTGTCAACAGTTTTCTCATTGCTACAGTTTACTGGTTTAATTGTCACAAGCTTAATTTAAGAGATGTCGCATTGCCTGTAGATCCATTTGTCGACTGGAAATGCTGCTTCATTCCACTTACAGTTCATAATTTTGAGCAAACTGAAAAACCTATAGCAATAATCACATGTTAATGTGTTCACATGTTGGAACTTAAGACTAGGCAAGGATTATAATTTTGCAAAAGGAAAAGAATGGCAACTTTGGACACAGCCAAAAATATGAACTGAAGCTTTTTGCTCTCCCTTTCATAGTTTTTCTGGATGATTCCTCTGAGGTTGATATTATTTACTCAGTATTTTCTTTCAAAAACACAACTCCAGAAGATTTCTATACTAACTTATTTACTCAAAAATCAAACAACTTTTGGACATACCAATGTCTATGTAACCAAAAAATCTATAAGGTGCAAAATGTTGTGTGTAATTAAAATGTCACTGCCAACTTAGACACAAAGTTAAATAAACCTTTTATCAAATTCACAGCAAGACTATCAAGACTGTTTCCTTCAAACAGTTTGGTGTAAACTTTGTAACTTAGGGAAGATTTCACACATTTCTGATTCTATGTCATACACTTGCACATAATCAACCAGCAGCTATCATATTGCAGAAGTGGAGTTTGTAAGACTTGGCATCACCTACCTTTGGGGCTGGACAATTCTGAGTTTGGAGGGGTGAGGGGGTCTACTTTGGGCATCATGAACAACATGTGGCAGAATCTCCGCTTCACAGAATCACCCGCTTCACCAGCAGTGACAATAAACATGCTGCTCAACCTCTCCTGGTGAGGGGGTGGGTACAGGCGTGCTTTTAACAATGACTGAAATAGGACCCGGCTCAACAGAGTAGTGGTTAAGGTCCTCACCTTGCACAGGTGAGGGACCCAGCCCAGGATCCCATATGGGTGCCGGTTCCAATCCCAGCAGCCCTGCTTCCCATCCAGCTCCCTGCATGTGGCATGGGAAAGCAATCCAGGACAGCTCAAAGCCTTGGGAACCTGCACCCGCATGGGAGACCCGGAAGAGGCTCCTGGCTTTGGATTGGCTCAGCTCCAGCCATTGCAGCCACTTGGAGAGTGAACCATTGGACGGAAGATCTTCCTCTCTGTCTCTCATCCTCTGTATATCTGGCTTTCCAATAAAAATAAATAAACCTTCTAAAATAAAAGAATGCCTGAACTAAAGCAATTATGAACTGCAGGAGTCAATTTAAGGGGTAAGTTACTTTAATGGCCATTTATAAATGCTCAACCTAGCATTTCCAGAATTTGGTGGCTTTTATTTATATTATTGTCACTTTTTGTACATTATGACCCATATATGTATTTGCACACATATAGAAGTTATAATACTTACCCTTACAGGTTAGGCTCAGATGCACAAATGGATAACTTCCTATATCTGGAAAATATACTTAAATTCAATTCTGTGAAATACTAATAGAAAAGATTTAGGAAATGCTTCCAGTCTACCAGGTTGTAAATCTGTTTTTAAAGTATTTTACATGAAGCGACTGATTTGATCCTCAATACAACCCTAGTGGGAACTCTTATTCTCTTACTACAAATGAGGAAATTAAGATAGTCAAGCTCACACTTTGGATCAAAACCCAGAAGTGTGGCTCCCGGGTTCACTAGTCCTGTTTGTCAGTTCTCAGAAAAACTGATTGTTTCAACAGTCAATGAAATGGCAACTGTTTCACCTGAAAATGCACAAAGCCATGAACCCATGAACATCTGAAGGATTTGAAGTCGCCCAGCGCAGAATCCAAACCCACATACTTGAGCTCACCTGTCTTCATTCAGCATCAAGCAGGGAGGGACAGACTGGGAAATGGCCATGTATGTAGGTAGGAGTCCTTTGGGTTCCAAGTACAGACTGAGCATTCCAACCCCGAAATCTGCAATGCTCTTTTGAGTATTTCAGATTACTGAGTTAGGGATGCTCAATAAAAGTGAAGAATGCACAAATATCCTAAAATAGGAAACCTTCTTGGTCCGAGGCATTTCATATAAGGGATATTCACATGCAACTCAGTCCCAACCTGAAAAGCTAAGTACTGGGAAGATGACATGGTAAACTACTAAAAGAATCTCTTTTGGCTGTCCATTTCTGCTGTGTTTGTACATACGGGTGGGGGGGTGCATTCTGGCTGCCAAGTCTCAAAAGCTTTATTATTCCAACTGTATTAGTTTTCCATTACTATGAGGAAATATCTGGGACTGGGTAACTTACATAAAAAAGGTCATTTAGCTCAGTTTCTGAGGCTGAAAGGTGAAACAGCACAGTGCTGGTTCTTTGGAAGGTCCTAGTGGTTACATCACCTCGTGGCAGATGGCGTCACAACACGGGAGCAAAGCGGAGAGATCACTTGGAGACGAGAAGCCAGAGTGCAGCATAGGGCCAGTCTTGCTCGTCTGGCTTACATGTACTTCTCAATCCGGCCACAGTAAGCCCACAGTCCCATACAGGAACCCTTGGAGAACACATTCACGCATATACAAAGTGCAGCACCAACTGATAAGCATCTCCCTGCTTCAGGTATAAATTCTCAGGGAATGATCATCTGGCCTAACTTGAATCATACATCCTCCCCTGTAGGCAGGATCTGTTCACCGACACTACAGGATAAAAAAATGACAACACCCAAATGGTTTAAAAGTATGGTATATATTTTTTTAAAAAATCAGATTTTTCTATGAAAACCAAATGTACAGGAAGCCCTTATTTACTTCATTTATTAGTTTTTCCTCTGAATGAAGTGGCTTAATAACTGGTCATAAAATGGGATTGCATTTTTAAAAAGACTGAACTTTATTAGCAAATATTTATTTTTTCTTTGAAGATTTTAAATCAGGAGGTATGGTGACTATTCCAAGTCCCTAACTAAGCTATTTAACTTTGAAGATTCTTTACATGTCAAACTCTTAAACAAAAAAGAAATTATTCAATAGACAGCCAAATGGAAGAGGCTTTTATTTGTAAAGAAATGAACTTACAACTGGTCTACAATATATTATTGAATATAAACAATATAAATAAATGATCCTGGAGGCCCATGAATCTTGCATCCAGACCCACATGGAGCAATGTTACAACAATAATCTATGTGAAAATGTGCAGGGAACAAAGGTGCAATTACAAGCAAGTTTAAGCAGCAGAGAATAAGGTGCTTTAATAATCAATGTTGCCATCAACAAACAGTTGAATGTTCAATTTTACTTCATTGAATAGACACAACAAATAAGGAAATGTAAATTCATACACATGCTACTCATAATATGAAAGTGCTTTCTTTGTTTAAAAAAATACACCAAATGGACACTTTTTACATACATCATGGTGTGCTCTTATGCAAAATTAACTTTGTTTTCAGGATATACATTTTTAATCTGTAGCTATAGATACCAGTCAAGGAACTCTAATGCTAAGAGTGCTAAAACTATTTTGTTTCCTGTGACAAGGACTCATACAATATCCAATGTCATGAATACACCTAATATCATGTTAACGTCTGTTTCCTGTAAAGTAAAAAAAAAAATTAAAATAAAAAAAAGAGCCTTCTTTCCCCTTGGTGATTTGGTGATACTTTGTTCATCCTGGGTAGATTATCTTTTGAGGTTTCAATAATATAAAAATTCACTTTTAGTACAACAGGAGAAACCAAATAAGATTTTTAAAAAATCAGTTAACCATGCACTTGAAGCATCAAAAATTAAAACAAAGTTTATCAAAGTCTTTTACTTTCCTTTAAAAGAAGATGCAAAGTATGCATTTAATGAAGAGCCTGGAAATGCCTGCCACAGTGCGGGCATCCACTCTATAGTTTCCAACCTTCACCACAGGCATAAACCTCACCTTGCCGGCAGTTTTCTAAAACTAACTTTGACAAAGACTAAGTCTTTGAGGGAGGTTATATAGTTACTCAACCAAAAAACTGTTAAAAAAAAAAAAAAGGTATACCAGCTACAGACTTTTGAAAACTTAAAATTTTAACAGCATATAATATTTGAAAAAAAATAGGGATACTTTAAAATTAAAACTCTCTAAAGGCTATTGTTAACAATGGGACAATTTTCTTTAAAACCTAGGCTATCTGGCTACTCAGATGTTAGTGTTCTGTTTTCACTCTGGAAGATTCTAATATAGATTCTAATCCAGCACTCATTTGGATACTTTCCTGTTTTAAAAGCTTTAACTATGATACACAAAGGGTTTTAAAATACTTTTTATCTTTATGAAGAAAGTACAAACTGATTACTAGTATTTAAAGCTGTGTCAACAGGAATTACAATGTGGTTTCAGGCTTCCAGCATGATAAGCAATCCTTACTCAATTAATAATTCCTTCTTCCTTATAATGTTCACTTTTACCTGGCAATTCAACATGGAATAAGCATCTTTTAGCAAAAACTCTTAAATTTATAATGGATCATTAAGAAGGGAAAGAAAACTAAGCAGGAACAACTTTAAAAGTATCCCATTATGTGCTTTAGCACCATAATTTTAAAGCTAGGGGTACCTTAAACCAGTATCAACATTTTGAGAACATATCACACTGTATATTTGGAGGCTAAAACCAAGTAATTTGCCAAGGTGTCATTTATAACTATTTAACCGATTGCAAGGAAAACCCCAGTCTGCAGACCAGTATGTTAGCCAAGAAAATTCCATAGGTATATTAGCCTACTTCTTACTACTGAAGCAGATTCACACATTATTTAATATTTAATGCTTAATACTTCTAAGTATTCCAAGCAAATATTTTAAACACCGGGCACATTTGGTCTGAGGCAAGGCAGAAAAACCTCTTTCTGAAGTAGACTACTGTTTCTTTTAATGATGACTACAGGCTCCACCCTCTCTCATAAACACCTACTTTTTTTTTAACTGCCATCAATTTAAGCTCCAAAACATGGGATTAACACTGATAACAGTCCATGAAGTTACACTTTTCAAGCCAATAAATGATGGCTACTATTAATCCTCATCACAGTTAAAATTTTTAAAAGTTAAAAAAATGATTATGAAGCTAATTTGAATAGGCAGTCTAAAGGGACTTTAATTAAAATTATGACACTAGCATAACAGCTGCAAAATTATACTGGCTTTTCCACATTAGCATTCATTGATTACTACTTCTTAACAGCACATTTTATCTTCTATAGTCTCATACTGAATATTACACAGTTCCACAAAACAATAGCTGTATGTGTAAAGGGCAATAGCACTTTGCTAAAGCATCCGCCAGATGTTCTCATTTTTACCTCTAATACATATGATTAAAGTTGTCCTCTTTTAATAAAATGTCCGCATGCTTTAGAAAGAGAGAAAGAAAAAGGAAACAAAGAAAAAGAAGTAGAGAAATAAGAATTTATGCAAAACCTTTATGAAAAGGTTCCAGAACCCCATTGCTGGTGGGGAGTCTGCATGTCTCAGAGCAGAGAGGAAGTGTGAGAAGAGGACGGGCTTCAGGGCGCAGGAGGAACGCATGGCCTCCCTCAGTGCATGCTTATACAGTGCGTTCAGAAAAAGCCAAATGCTTTCGCTGGAATGTCATAATTATATTTGCATTCATGCTTTACTACAACTCTCAAATAAAGCTTTCTCATTGTATAGTTTCATAGTAATTAAGTTCTAAAAATAACTTGCAAAACCTTTAGGGATTCTTAAAATTTTAGGAAACTTGCCAATGAAAGCAATACAATTAGGCCTTTTTTTCCTGAGGAAATGGCTTTTACCGCTGCTTCGAAGGAAATTATACAATGATACATTTCAGGAACTTCTAACAAAATAGGACCATCTTCCTGAAGACTTTTTCTTTTTTAAAAGGTGTACAGCTTAATGAGTCAAAATTTACTTTCAGTAAGAGTGCATATTTACTTTTCCTAACACTGTGTTTGTGCTTATCCATATTGAATCACAATCTCTGAAATGAAATAAAATGCTCTAAACAGATTTACAAAATACCAGCACTGATGCATGTGGGTTAAACATCATGATCCACACCGTTACGTGCCAGAGAAACAGAGGTAGGCTTGCACTCACTCAAATCCACCCTAGTCAGGAGGAAGCTGGAGCTCTGTGCCCTTCCTTAGACTGACACACAACTTAACAAAGACGACCTTACAACGTCCTTGTTTACAAGTCTACAAGATTGGTTCAAGTGGCATCTGTAAAATGGAAATTTGCCTTTGTAATTCTGCCAACGCCTAAGAATCAGCATTTGAATTTCTAACAACTTTCCTCCAACTGTAAGAGCTGTCACATGTCTCAGAAATCGAGCATTGCTAACTTTTGTATCATAAGAATTATCGGTATCTATGCTCAGGTAATGGAAAATGAGTTTCATGGGATCCAGCAATGATTTATTATGTAAAACTACCAATGAAAGCCATAATCTATACTGAACAGCTCCTCTTAACTGCATAAACCTCTAGGATCTAGAATGCTTTTGTTTGTCTTCTCCACTTCCCCAACCTTGCTCCCAGAAAACTTTCCTCCGGGCCCTCTACATACAGACGCATATTGTGCAAAAGAAACTGACTGAGCAGACATTCTGCATAGATGGACCAGTTTCCACTGCCAACGGTGTCGCTGTAACCTGATGGTCATGTCCTGCCCCAGCTGCCTCCCTTCCTAAAGTGAGCCCCACCACAGAAGTTTCTAAGGATCGCAGGCAAAGGTCGCTACTAAAATTTTGACATAGTTCATCTGCAGCTCGAGAAAGTGCTAGGAGTACAGAGGTGAGACCCCTTCACACCAGACAGCTAAATGCTCCATGGAATTAAACAGTAGGGACAGCTGCTATTCACCAAGAGTGAGAGTTTCCAAACCAAGAACTATAATAGCCTTTTGTGGTGGAAAATGTGTAGCTGTAGATTTCATCCACTGGTTACAGCTATGAAGTCGGCTTCATTCAGTTTACACTTTCCAAAATTGTTTATACATTTGTAAAATTGGCCCAAGACGTAACTACACTGCCTCCCTGTCATACTTGTGCCATGGCAATTAACAAAACCATAGAAACGTAAATAACAGGCTTTAAAAATATTCAATTCAACAAGCAAGTGAAATGGGATGCTAAGATTACAATCAAAGATTTGTGTCTGTGGTTCGATGTTTGATTATAATTTTACACTTGCTATATGAAGATTAGGTATCTCAAAAATTATTCAAAGCATGATTACTGTATTCTTTCATACGGTTCTAAAAGTTCCAACACATGAGAAAACAAAAAATTAACAGAGGGATGCCTATTAAAACTCACTTCTATTTTAAATTTGGTAAAACATGAATATTCGCTTCCAAAGTGCAGAAATGTATTCAATGTTGAAGTGCATGCCAACTAAGAACGGCGGCAGACTGCCCTGCCTGCCTCTTTCCCCTTCTCAAGCTTTTGTGCTAACATATCTTTCCTTCTATTCCATTCTACCCACTCCTAGATCCCAGCCCTTAAAATATAATGGTAAAAAAAAATGTGCTTTTTAGGGAATTCCAGAGCAAAGCTGAAGGTCTCATCATGGAAATATTCTATACCATTCTAACGGACAGCACTCTCTCAGCCTGTACTGGCTCTATCACAGTTGCATAGCTGTGTTTTACACATGACTATACAAGGCTTGATGAATATTAATGTCACATAAAAACAACTTTTACAAATAAATTGCTTACTTCCCAAAGAACACAAAGCTTTGAGCAAATAAAAATTTAGACTTGTAGTTTTTTCCTTCAATGGGAAAAGATTCAAAGAAATTAGAAATACAAACTTATAGAGCAGAAGTAAGAAGAACCGCCCATGTTCCCTCTCTGCTTTCCATGCCCTCTCCCCAGCTGAACTCTAGTTAGTAATTTAAAGGCAGGGGAAATAGTGGCCTTCCCCCCAAGCCATACCGAAACAGCACTGACATGCAGTGTCATCTGCGTATTCATTATACAAAGCCGACAGCCTTGAGATGAACAGATCATGGGAGGGGTTGCACAAACAAGAAACTATGAAGTAACAGCCAACTGACAGTAAATGAACCGTTTAAAAACAAGGCTCCTCAAAACAGCGATCGTGTATTCTGGCTAGGTTTTGAGTAAAGACAACAGAAGGTCATGACCAGTCTTGAGATTTCAGATTATAAGGCATTCATTAATAGAAACTTTCTGTAAGCCCCTTCTGGATTGTGCTAGGTACTAGCTTTCAGTAAGTACAGAATGACTAATATTAGCAGAGGCAAAAACAAAAGCAAAACAAAACAAAAAAACAAGAACCTACAACACAGTTGGCAGTCGGTACCTGAAAGGCTATACCTACAGCAGCTTGGGAGCTAATGGTAGTGCCAGGGCGACCCAGCCCCAGCAGCCAGCATCGTGGTAGGCGCAGATTAGCGAGGACAGAGTTCTAGTCTCAGGGGGGACTCCTCCACGCTCCGTCCCTCACACAGGGGGCCGTGCCTCACTAATGCCTATCCTGAATTTGTATTCTGAAATTGCAAGATGGGAGAAAAGGCGAGTGTATAATGATTTGTTTGATAACAATGAACTGTGAACAAATGAAAACTGACTAGAGTATCTACCTTCTTTGAAACCCTAGGACAGCAATCAAAATGTGATATAAAGAAATATGTAACATAAACTGCAACTTACAATAGGTCTGGAGCATGAGCCTTACGTTATGTTAAATTTTCTAATCCTACACAGAACTATTGGTAAACATTTTTTTGAACATTACTACACAAGGAATCCCACAAAGCATACATTCAAACAGGAGGCATCTAGAGATTAAAAAAATTACCCGCTGTATTTTTGTATAAAAATAATCAACATTCTCTAATGTACACAAAGCCAAAAGATAAACATCTGTGATGTCTTTAGGGACATCTTAGTCTTCTACTAGCTCAACACAATTTTTGTGAAAAGAGCAGTGAGAATGAAACCCTTGGACACTTCTTTCTCCACTGACTGAACTTCTGCCAGATACCGTATGTGTTCCTGCAGTTAGTGAGACATCAGCATGTGGTATATGGAAGAAACAGGAAAAGACTAAAACAAAACGTTCATCATCGTAAAGTCTCTGATATCCAGGACTAGGGTGCTCTTAGGATTCCCACAAGCACTGCTGCTTACGCTTCCCGACTCCACAGAACTGTTCAAGGGATGGTTTTCCCCTACAATAGGTCCATATACAATCAGATCTGGATCATCCAGAGAAAACACTGCAAGTGCTTTGAAGGAAAGCATGCAACAGTTTAGTAAAGGAAAAAGCAATGTGCATTCCAGCTAGTCCCAGCTCTTTCAACACCAGGAAAATTCCACAGAGCAACCAGTATCTACCACAAACCACCTCCTTGCAAGGAAGGGTGTGCTGCTTCATGGCGTAATTGGATTATGACTCGATCAGAAGCACAATAGAAAGCATTCTTTTCTCAAATTAAGTATATGGTAGTCCTTACTTTATAATTGAGTTTGGTGGATTTCTTTTTCATTTTCCGGTGTGCATAAAACTAGAAAAAGCATTTCACTGGAATATTATACTACCTGAATAATAGTCCCACTGTATATGTATCCTTTATTATCTTTCAAAAATGTTCTCTGGGTGGAAAACAGCAACCCCTATCACTCTTTCTACATCCCAGTTTCTCACCCTTGGTGCTGCTAAACCCCTGGACCAGATATCTGCTGGTGGAGGGCTGTCCTGGGCATGGCTCGCCACTCAGCCTGCACCCAGTAGCTACCAGTGGCAGCCCTCACTCAGCATTAACTCTGAGCTGTGACAGCCAAAGATTCTGGACACTGTCAAATGTCCTCTGAGGAGAAAAAGTGACTTCCATTGAGAACATCTACTTTTACTGCACAGAAACAGAAAGGAAAACCACCTTTTTCTCAGCCAAATTCCTGGTGAAGTTTGGAACAGAAACGAATTCTTTTGATTTCCAGATCCGTATTATTCAAGCTGAAACATAATCCTTCTTTAAAGATGAAACATTTGCATAAAAGACGTGTTTTTTTTTTCAAATGCACATTGATATTCCACTGCATGTGATTCTGTCACTGGACTCATAATTCATTCTTAACATATCTCTAATGACAACCCTTAGAAAACTAACAGGGTAGAAAAATGTATAAGAAACTGAGTAAGGAGAAATGTAAATTAATTGCTTTAAAAAGGATTCTTTGCATTAATGATAAGCATTACCTTTAAAAAAGTATTTGTATAACACATTTCTTCGAAAAATATTATGGCCTTCTCTAACAAGTCTTCTAATGTTGCATGAAATCTCTGCAAAATTAATCTCACCAATGCTGGCTAATTATGAAAATGTATGATGAATTGTTTTATCTGTAGAAGCAATGTCAGCATTTGGTGCAGAAATCCCAATGTGCTTGGCTCTCCACCACAGCAAGCTCAATATTCCAGGCTGAATTAGGCCTTTACCTTGCACATCTGCTGCAGAAGGGCAAAAGCTGATGTGTCAAAGCCTCGGCTTCCTGTTAAGATTCCTTCAGAGAGTTGATGCGTGCGCAGATCTTTAGGGCTGGCCCTAGCTTAATATTCATTGCACTCATGAGATGGTCTTCTTTCAGCAAGAGAAGAGCTTGTCCATCAATCTCCTGTGCTCTGAACTCATCTGCAATATCCTGGCAGCCTGGAAATTTGACCAAAGTAAGAAGTTAGAAATAAATACACAACCATCAGTATTGCTGCTAACACACTCTTACTGGATCTGAGGATCTGAAACGCAGGCTGAGGAATAAATGAAATTTATTTACAGTAGTCAGAAGTTCATTGCTGAAGACAGTATCTGCTGGCATTCTGAAAGTAAGCATTTAAAATCCAGGGAAAGCATTTACTTGGAATTCTTGCTCTAAAAATCATAATAGAGAATTACTAAGAGCTAGGTAAAAATGTACAGAGTGAACAGCCCAGAGGTAACAGTTCCTTCGTGAATAGGTCTGTGCTGTCACCTTGCAGCAGCCCACCGTATAAGAGGCCTGGAGGCAGGCACTTGGTTCAGGGGCTAAGACAATGCTTGAGCAGTCTGTATTCCACACCAAAGCACATGGGACCCAGGTCAACCTCCGTTCCAGCTTCAGTGTGGCCCAGCCCTGGCTGCTGAGGGCATTCGGGAAGTAGCAAGGAAGACAGCAGATTAATCTCTCTGCCTTTCAAATAAAATAAACTAAATAGGTAAAGCTCTGCATTAACTGGGTATTGTATCTCATAAACTTATCTTTGTATTTTTACATCCTGTACATACAGGCTCAAAGGAATAAAATCCAAATAGCAATCTAGTAATGTTTTCTCAAGTACCAGAGTACTACTTTCATTATTACTTGAATTTATGACTTTTATTGCCAAGGACATCTAGCATATCCTTATTTTTGATCAAGGCTGTTATTAGCACTCTACTGCAACACTGCTGAAATGCTGCTGAACTGCTCAACTGGTAATTTCTACTTCAAATACTGAAACCAGTAGACTCAGGTCCACTTGTCAGAAAAAAGCAAATCCATACTGAAGTTATATATAGCTAATCTGCCCAATAACCATCATGTGGCTCTCAATTTAAACTAGGTATTTTTTCCAGGCAGTATTTACCTTAACTTCACATGTTTTTATTGTCTACCAAATTTTATATAGTTAAACTGCTCAATAAACACCTCATTATGAGGGGAAGCAGCAAGGAATGGTACTAGGTCAACAGAGGAGGAAATGAAAAAATATGGAAAAGAGATAATAAAATTACAAAGGAAAGCACTTGCAAGTAAAAACTATTCTACTGAAATAAAATGGAAATGGCAACATTACAATTTTTGATACCAAAATACAAATTATCAGCCCTTGGGGCTGGTGCAATGGTTCAACTGCCTAATCCTCTCAAAGTGCCAACATTCCTTATGGGTGCTGGTTCATATCCTGGTTGTTCCACTTCCCATCCAGCTCCCTGCTTTTGCCCCGAGAAAGCAGTGGAGCATGAGCCAAGTCCTTGGAACCCTGCACTCATGTGGGAGACCCAGAAGAAGGGTCCTGGCTCCTGGCTCCTGAGCAGCTCAGCTCCAGCTGTTGCAGGGATTTGGGGAGTGAACCAGCAGATGAAACATCTTTTTCTCTGCTCTCTCCTTCTCTCTGTAAATCTGACTTTCCGATGAAAACAAATAAATCTTAAAAGGAAAAAAAAAATGATAAGCCTTTCCACTGTAAGTATATCATTCTCTTATTTATATGATGCTTTCCTCAGGACTGACAGATGCTGAACACATACATGAGGATTTGTGAACAAGCGAAGACTGGGATGAGTGAATAAAGAAGGAACAAAGACGCACTGTGCTTCAGTACAGACAGCTGAAAGAACCACGCACGCTTCCCTCATGTTCAGATGTTCTTTTCTGAGGTCCTCTGTTAAGTTGCCCTTCACTATTTCTTGTAACAGCAGCCAACTTTCCAATTTCTCTGCTTTAATAACTTTTGTGACATTTAAAAACTGCGATTTCAGTAGCCTCTAAATCACATTTGTGGTTTGACTCAATAACCATGCAAAAGAAACTGTATAGTTGAAATGATTTTACTCACCATAGAAAAGCCCCTTTTCTTTTCCCAGAGGTAGCTCTCAACAAAACTGGGCAGACAAAACTGACTAATCGTGCATCTAGTTGTGACTTCATCCTCCTCTTTAGGAAACAACTAATGTTCTTCTCTCTTCAGTCTTAATTAAAGGATACAGGAAAGAAGAGAAGAGAAAGATAGGGTAGAACTTCTTTAGACTGGGAAAACAGGAGCAATGAGGAACAGTGAGGACCGTAGAGCTACATTTGGGAATAGAAACAAGGAGTTCACCGTGAGGACAATATACGGCACATCCTCATTTCTCTGTAATGGGAGATTTCTCCTCAGACAACTTCTTATGGGTGGATGGTAATAATTTAACAATAAAGAACAAAAATTGGGCAACCAGCATGATCAAACAGAAATGCATTCTCTTCAGAATTTTACAACACAAATTTCTTAAGCCAGCCAAAAAAGGTATAGTTAACATTAAGTATGAAAATAAAGCAAGTGACCTAAACAGGGAAAATTAAGAGAAGCACTTATGCTTCCAGAAACTCATTAGAGAGAAACAAATTTTAAAAATATTTTAAATGCTCAAAGTATAAAGAGCTGAAAAGTTCTGTGAGTTTCTGAGTATCACTGCACATCAGCGCAAGCCATCAGCCCGCCTGCCTCGCTTCACCCCAGCAGCAAGTGCAGTGCAGCTCTCAGCACCAACACAGACCTTCACACCTCAGTCCCAACTGAGCTCTCCAAGTGTCCAGTCCCTCCTCCAGGCAAGGATACAACAAGCACCCTGCACAAAAACTGATGCCAGTCAGGCTGGGGAAAAAATAACACCTGCCACTTAATGATACAAAATGCATCCCAATACAGGTATTACAGAAGCAGTAAGTGGTCATCTATGCTTTAACGAACTCTATATGCCTATAGGGAAATTAAGTCTCCTATGGTTTAAAAGACTGAAAAAGGCAGTTCATCAGATCAGGAAGAACTGAAGAAGGCAACTTGCAGCTAAATGAACATGATGCTAATTTATTCCTTTAGAGAACTTTAACAGAAATTAGAAGACAATTGTTCACTCTGGGAACAGCTCTGAGATTTGGGGATATTGCGGTTCCAACACAGTCCCAAAAAGATACTTATCAAACAATACACGAAGAAACAAAATGTGTAAGAATAAGTACAGGTGTCCTGTCTTGAGAGAGGGGAGGAAGCCTATCCCGAATGAAGAGAAAGAGGAGATCTTACAAAACCACAAGCTGTTGGTTCTATGAGAAAAATGTGGAAGTGGAATCCTGCAGGAGGGAGGAGAGAAACAGCTCTGAAAATCCTCAAAGAGGCTTGAAAGAAAACTGACAAAGGCAAAAGGAGCAAAAAGAAATGAAGATAAAGCCATTTTCTGCTGTGAGGTTTATCTAAACTACAAATAATCTTTATTATTTGACCTACCAAAGCAGCTTTGAAATATTCTCAAAGTCTTCACTAAACAAAAACATTTATATAAACCAGACTCCACAGCAATTTTAAATTATAATCTCCTTTTAGCATTAATGAAAACCAAATTAAGTTTCTAAGTAAACTCAGTAAAACAATCATCTCCAATTAAACAGTAAGTTTAACTTTTATTTCTTAACAACTAGGCAAGAATGAGACAAAGGAGGAGTAAGCCTTCATTCTATTAATGTAGTGACAAGTACCCCAACACAGTAAATAATGTTGGAGAAAATGGACTTTTGCAAAAGGAATGAGCAACTAATCTCCTGAATACAAACCCAATTTCCTTCCCAAAAGAAAAAAAAAAAACGTTTCTCACAAACAAGAAACCAAGTCCACCAACAGGACTGAGCCAACCCGTGAAGGTGACAGAATCCAAGTCCAGCTCTGGATGACTAACAGAATCCAAGATTAATTCTCAAGCCAACTACTCTGGTCTACAAACTAAAATGTGTTTCATCCCATATCAAAACCACAACAAATGAAGAGTCATATTCTTGAACACCTCGAGTTTACAGCATATTCTAAGTCTAAATGAACTCAGATATTTCTTAGAAGTACTCCTAAATGCCATATCTTACTCTTTGAAAATTCAGCATTTCTAAAACAAGCTATTGATAAAATAATAAAATTTCCTAAGAATTTTGTATATACTATGGTATTTTGTATATACTATAGCATAGCCTGTATCCAGAATCCCATATGGGAGCTGGTTTGAATCCTGGCTGCTCCATTTCTAGTCCAGATCCCTGCTAATATGCCTAGGAAAGCAGTGGAGGATGGCCCAAGACTTTGGGCCCTTATACTCATTTGAGAGACTCAGAAGAAATTCCTGGCTTGGGCCTGGCCCAGACCTAGTTTTTGTGCCTATTTTGGGGGAGTGAGCCAGTACATGTTAGAACAATTCCTCTCTCGCTCTAACTCTGCCTTTCAAATAAACAAACAAATCTGAGAAACTGTACATAATACAAAATGGATGACAAAAGATTTTAAGTCAGAATTTCTAAATATATTCTGTTGCACAGTAAACTGTGGTAAGTTCATATCTTAGACTTTAGTCACCTACATAGAAAGATTAATTAGTAACATTGATTAGCCTAATTTCGATAAACCTGGCAAACATTTAAATGAAATGTGTTCGGAAAAGCTTGTATCAGGAGAAATGAGATTCACAAAAAATCAAGAGAACACATTTTTAAAGCTCCATTTTCCATACTGATAAGATCAAGTGAATGACAGATCTTCTGATTCTAAAAAATATACTATAACACATGTAATCACGGTAGGTCTCATCAGGAGCAAACATGTGACTGTCTTTCATACCAAGTCCTTTAGAAAAGTGAATGCAAGATACTGAATCAAGGAAAAAGAGAGACTGACGTTGATGGAAACAGTACCAAAACAAGAGTTAGAGAAGGTAAACATAAATCAGAAAGTTAACCTCAATATTAGAACAAATGTCATTACTGAGTTTCAGCTAACTGCTTGAGAACTTCTATCTACCAATACTGAAATCCTAGAAGTGCCCTAGATGCTGATTAGAAGATTCAAAGGACACAGTTTCTTCTAAAAGAGTTGGGTTGATTTTTAAAAATAAATCAAAATTTTACTGTATTTTAAAAGGCTTGCTTAACTTTTAAAAATGCTTTTAAAAATTAGTGCTTTTTATTTCACTTTTTTAAAAGGCAAAATTAAGAAATAAGGAAGAGATAGAATAGAAATACAGAAGAACAGAAGGGAAGAAGCGCCTGATCCAATCTCTCTACTGACCTCTCGAGAGAAATCAGACTGGAGAGAAGAGAGCACCTTTAATATCTTCACCGGCTCAGGAGTCACGGCAGAAGCAGGACTAGTCAGTTTTTATCGACTTGGGGCGTATGAGAAAATACCCAGTTGTGCTGAGGGAATAAGCAAGAGGAAACAGATCACATTTCAATAGCAAATGCCACTTAATTTATACATACACACAGTACTTCTCTAGCCTTTTCGTGCAAAGGGTATGGACGGAGCTTACGATGTTCCTGGGTTGTGAATGCACAAGAAAACTACTAGGGCCAAAGTTGTGAACGACATACCAGGCAAAGAATGGATGAAGGCCCACACATCATCAACTGTCCATATAGATGGCTCTGTTTGGGCAACTGGCAGCAAGTCACTGTTCTCGGGCATTTTCCTGATTCTCACATCACGAAGCTCGCGTTCTCTTTCCCGCTCGCTCTGTCTGCGCAGACGAGTTGTCATAGCAGATGGCACAGAATCTTCCCGGGACGCCAAGTCTTCTTCTGCAGATGGATAAGTAATGGGAAGCTGGAAAATGTAGTACAAGTAAAATACAGCACTGCACTTTCCTTGCGTTTCTGAAAAGGGTATTGTACAGTGAAGCAAGGTTTCTACAGACCTGCCTAAGGATATGTTCTCTTGCTGCCCCATCAGGACCACTCGGACGACGGCCACGATGCCCAAGACTTTGATTATCAGGCTTACGATTCCAACGACTAAGTGCAAATTTTTTAGAACAGCTAACATTGTACCTGAGAAAGTCAAGCAAGGAAAAATATTAAGTGATAAATGGAATATTCCACTGAGTATTGAGTTTAAAATGCAACTATGAATCAGTAAGTACCACAGACTTCAATAAGGAGTATAATGTCTGATAAAGTAAACCACACTGTTTTGCTATGGTAGTTGTCAAGAAATGGCCTCTGTGGGGCTGGTATGATGGTACGGCAAGTTAAGCCACTGTTTGAGATGCCAGCCAATCGAAGTCCTGGCTACTCTGCTTCCAATCCAACTTGCTGATGCTGTGTCTATGAAGCGGCAGACCATGCGTAAGTACTGAGTTCCTACCATGTCAGAGAACCAAGTGAGAAACTGGCGTCTGCCTTTGGCCTGGCCCAACTCTGGCTGTTGCAGCCATTGGAGAGTGAGTGATAAATAGAAGATATCTCATTCTTTTTAAGTAAAACTTTTTATTTTAAAAAAGAAAGAAAGAAATGAAAAATAAAACAAGTGAACTCTGTATATCACAAATTATTTCTCAAAGTAATACTGGACACTTGTAGTAAGCGATAGATATCTTCTGATTATCTTCATTATGCTAATGAAACTTTCTGCAAAATACAGAGGATTACTAATTTTCACATTAGTATGTTTATTCTAACTTATTTTTGTTCCAACTTATTTTCCCCAAGTAATAATTTTTGGAGAAATTAATAAATAGATGTTAACACAGTGGGACAGGATCTCAAGCAGCTATTCAAAGATTTTTCAAGTATTACTGAAATCAGAAAATGAAAATATAAGCTTGAAATTTCAAAAGTATACAAGGGATTCATATTTAGGAAATACTGAACTTTGCTTGTTTTAATTTAAAATGCAGAACAATAAGGAGACAGAGGCAGGCAGGCAGGCAAGAGGCAAATGGAGCACCCATCTGGCAGTTCACTGTTGAAATGCCCATAACGGCCAGAACTGGGCCAGACCAAGACCAGGAGCCCAGAATTCGGTCTGGGCTCCAGCAGCAGGGACCCAGCTACTTGAGTCACTCACTGCAGCACGGGCAGGAAGCTGGAACTGGGAGCCCCAGGCAGGAGTCATATCTGGTCACTCTGATATGGACATGGGCATCCTGGCACCAGACCAAATACCAATCCTGTCATTCTTTAAAATGGGCTAAAATACTCATATGACTCTTGCAAAAACAGTTTATCTGATATTTTTAACACAGGTCTTTATAAAAAGAGTCCTATTTCATTTAACAGATTATGAAGTCTTTAAGAAGATGGGGGAGGGGTGAGGATGAATATATTCCAAAATGGGCCAGACAGTAAATATTTTAGGTTTAGCAAGTTTCTGGCATAACTACTCAACCCTGCCATTGTAATATGAAAGCAGCTGCAGAAGATACTGAACAAGCATGATTGTATTCCAATACCATTTCTAAAAATGGAACATGAATTCCATACCTTGGTCATGAATCACAAAATCGCCTTTTTATATTTTTAAAATAAAAAACTTTATATTTAAAAAAAAAACACCTTTAATTTCACTTACTTGAAAGACAAAGAGAAAGAAAGACACAGACAGATCTCCCATTTACTGGTTCATTCCATAAATGCCTGCAACAGTTGAACCTGGGTCATGCTGAAGCTAGAAGCTGGTAACACAACCTAGGTCTCCCAAGTGGATGGCAGGGATGTATACCAATCTCTGTGGCATCCCAGGGCACATTAGCAGGAAGCCCAACTATGATAAAGAGCCTACAGTGACACCATCACAGGCATCCCAAGTGGTACTTTCATCACTGAACTCAGTAATGCCTAGCCTCATACTTTTCCCCCAAACACCTAAAATTAAAACAAACAACAAATGCCATCACCATTCCTTAGCTCAGGGGTCATAAAAAATAAATAAATAAATAAGTGAAAGGAAGAACCTAGCCTGGGTAAATTTCCCAAACACTCTCTAGAAAGAACAGTGAGGGGAAATTATCTAAGAAACAACTTCCTGAAAAGCTGTGATATGACTTAGAAAAATGCAAGGCCTCTTCGAAAAGCTCATGAAAAAAGCGTGTTGGGAAGAAGCCAGCCCCAAGTGCTCTATTTCTGATTGCTCCAGCTCTCTGCTTGCGTGCGTGGAAAGAACTGCAGGTAGCCCAGGTTCTTCTGCCTCAGCCACCGCCTTAGGGGACCGAGATGGAGTTTCAGACTCTTGGATCTGCAACGGCTCAATTCCAGCTGTCGAGGACCATTATCCGGAGTGAATCATACGTGGAAGATATCTTTTGCACTCCTGATTCTTCTTTTTTTTTTAAAAAAGAGAAAAATCTCTGAGTGGATTTCAGAATTTTTGGTACCAATTTAAGTTTAATTTTATTTCCCCATAAGCTAAGACCCCACTTATAAAACTGTTCATAATCTCTTTTTTAAAAAAAAAAATGTATTTTTTTTTTACGCAAATCGGATTTATAGAGAGAAGGAACTAAAGACAGATTTTCCATCTGCTGGTTCACTCCCTGAGTGACCACAACAGCCGGAGGAGCTGAGCCAATCCAAAGCCAGGAACCAGGAGCGTCTTCCTGGTCTCCCATGAGAGTGCAGGGTCCCAAGGCTTTGGGCCATCCTAGACTTCTTTCCCAGACCACAAGCAGGGAGATGCACTGGAAGTGGAACAGTAGGGATACAAATCAGTGCCCACGAGGGACTCCTGGCACATGCAAGGCTTTAGCCACTAGGCTACCATGCCGAGCCGTGTTTGTAATTTCTTATGTTTAGAACTCCTTTGGTCTAAGCAAACTACAAGAGTAAATCCAAAATTAACTCCACTACTGATAACTATTCTAGGACAAATATACAGATATCAAAATAAAGCTTTCTCAACTATGTTTTATGAAAATCCTGAGAAGTGGAAATAAAGAATCACCTAAAAATAAACACACTATTTAACCCCCATAGCAGAAGTGTACTAACAGTCATTTCTTTTTTTTTTTTAAATATTTACTTATTTTTTATTGGAAAGGCAGATTTACAGAGAAAAGGAGAGACGGAGAAAGATCTTGCATCTGGAGGTTCACTCCCCAAGTAGTCACAATGGCCAGAGTTGAGCTGATCCAAAGTCAAGAGCGTCTTCCAGGTCTCCCAAGCAGGTCAAGTCCCAGGGCTTTAGGTTGTCCTCAGCTGCTTTCCCAGGCCACAAGCAGGGCACTGGAAGGGAAGTAGAGTAGCCAGGATACAAACTGGTGTTCATAGGGGATCCCGGCATATGCAAAATGAGGACTTCAGCCACTAGGCAACTGCAATGGGCCCTGGCCACTTCTTTTTACCATAAGATAATTCAAAACATTTAAGCAGGGCCTGGTGCTACAGTACAGCAGGTCGAGACACTGTCTGCAAAGCCTGTGTCCCATATGGATGCTGGTTCTTGCCCTGACTGCCTCACTTTCCACTCAGCTCTTCACAGATCTACCCGGGAAAGCAGCAGAAAATGGATGAAACTCCTATCTCTTTGGCATTAGCCTGGCCCAGCCCTGGCCGTTTTAGTCATTTGAGTTTTACCCATTTCAAGAGTAAATCAAGTATGAAAGATCTCTCTCAGGCCTGGTGTGGTAGCCTAGTGGCTAAAGACCTTGCCTTGAACACTTTGGGAGGCCATGTGGGGCCGGTTTGTGTCCCGACAGTCCTGCTTCCCATCCAGCTCCCTGCTTGTTGCCTAGAAAAAGTGGTCAAGGATGGACCAAGGGGTTGTCCTCTTATATCCGCATGGGAGACCTGGAAGAGGCTCGGACACCCTGGCTTCAAATGAGCAAAGCTCCTACTGTTGTGGCCGATTGGGAGTGAATCAGCAGACAGAGGGTCTTCCTCTGTGTCTCCTCTTCTCTGTGTATCTGACTTTCCAAAAAAAAAAAAAAGAAATAAATCTTCAAAAAAAAATTTCTGTGTATCTGCACTATTCAAAAAAATACATGTTTAAAATTTCTGCTTTGTTTTTTTTTTTTAATTTATTTTTATTGGAAAGTCAGATATACAGAGAGGAGTAGAGACAGAGAGGAAGATCTTCCGTCCGATGATTCACTCCTCAAGTGAGCGCAACGGCTGGTGCTGTGCAGATCGGAAGTCAGAAGCCAGGAACCTCCTCCAGGTCTCCCACGCAGGTGCAGGGTCCCAAGGCTTTGGGCCATCCTTGACTGATTTCCCAGGCCACAAGCAGGGAGCTGGTTGGAAAGTGGAGCTTCCAGGACTAGAATTGGCACCCATATGGGATCCCAGTGCATTCAAGGTGAGGACTTTAGCCACTAGACCATCGCACCAGGCCCGTTCTTTGTTTATTCTACATTTACTACTGGCCTCAACAAAATACGTTTGGGATTTCTATGTTATCATTGAAAAAACTACAGCACTCATTGACAACAGAACAGACAGATTCACTTTGTACCTGATTTGTAGCTCATAAATATTTTGGTACGGTAGAGAACTAAGCTGAGAAATACCAACAGCTCTTCTCTATCCTAACTTCGCTTCCTTCTTAACAGTATTGCCTTAAGTTAGGGTCCCAACTAACTAAACAGAGCCACATACAGGGTAATAATGTGAAAACTGAACAGTTATCTCCGGGAGGAAAATGAAGGTAGTGTTACATGTTTTAGAATTTTATAAAACACGCAGAAAATGTAAGATATCCTGAAATACAGACTTTTCCCAAGTTTTTGGAGTTTCTAGTCACTTAAAATAAGAGAGCTGTTTTTCTTTTTATAGTATTAAGTAGACCAGAAAATTTGGAATAAAACATGAGCTACATAATTTGACTTTAGGACAATAAATAGCATGAAAGAAAATTTAAACACTCACCAATGAAATAGTGAACTCACTTTAGAGGAAAATTGTTATATTAATTAAGTTTTGTTAAGTATACTTTGGTGACATCTACATAAAATAAAACATTCAAGCAAGCAATTCCATGTGTGAGAGTGGGCATTTGTTATAGCCATAAGAAAGCCAGTTAGGATGCCTGTTCCAATATCAGAATATACCTATTCTGACATCTAACGTTGCATCCTGAGATCTGAGAGCCAGAGGTCAGGCCTCATGGGGCTGGCTTCCTGCCATCCACATGGAGACCTGGATTGAATTTATGGCTTCCAACTTGTCTACTGTGAGCATTTGGGAAGTAAACCAGCAGGTAAGAAACCCTCCCACCGGGCCAGGCACAACAGTCTAATGTCTGAAGTCCTTGCCTTACATGCTCCAGGATCCCACATGGGTGTCAGATCATGTCCCAGCTGCCCCACTTCCCTTCCATCTCTCTGTCTCTCCTTCTGGTTCTCTCCAAGTGGACTCAATGGCTGGGGCTGATTCAATCTGAAGACAGGAGCCAGGAGCTTTTTCCAGGTTTCTCACACAGGTGCAGAATCCCAAGGCTTTGGGCCATCCTTGACTAATTTCCCAGGCCGCAAGCAGGGAGCTGGAGGGAAAGTAGGGCAGCCAGGACACGAGCTGGTGTTTATATGGGATGTTGGTGCATGAAAGGCTAGCACTTTAGCCACTAGGCTATCATGCTGCACCCAAAAGCAAAACAAATAAATCTTAAAAAAAAAAAAGTATCCCTCGCATGAAATAAAATGTAATTCTTAGATGCATAAAATTACAATAATAAATTTCTTGAGAATAATCATTCTTTGGACCAAAAGCAAACTTCAAAATAATTAACCTAAAATATACCTCAACTTCATCTCTATATTATCAGGATTTGTTACTCAGAGCTACAGTTTTTAAAAATCAGAATTAAACATGAGTAGTCCAAGATTAGGGACTAAATATTTCTTTTGCAACTAATACCACTTACTTACAGTAACTACTACTTTAACTATGAAGTTAGAAAAGACAGGTATTTTGCTATTTGATAATACTGACATTGTGGGGAACATATGGTATAGCTATTTCATTTAGAAAACTGAAAAAAGAGGAAATGATTCAAACAAATGAAAACAGCTTAAAACAAAAGTAAATTCAGTATTTTGATACTGATAGAAGCAATCATTTGGCTGAATATTGTTTTAATATCTTAAGGACTAGTATCACATATTTTGTTGAAAGCAACTTAAGCATACTTTGATTGTTTCTTGAAGATGATAAAGTAAAACTTACTGGTATGAATATGCAACTTTCACAGAGCGAAATCTAGCAAATAAATACCAAAGTAGCTCCAAAGAATAGCTCTTTCTACTCTTCTTCATATGATGACACCTATGCTTGCTCATAAACTATCTGAGACGGTTTTAGTTTCATTACAGTGGTTATTGATTTGTCCTTCAGAAAATTCAAGAGCACAGAAATACCTTTTGGCACACGACATAGTGCAGAACCGTTTGGACCGCAAAAATTCATTAGCGTAGCCCATTTTTCCACAGAATTCACACTTGAGCAACTCACTATCCATTTCTTCTAATGTCTCTAAAAAAGAAGGAAACAAAGCAGAAAGATACCAAAAATTGAATTGTGCAACGTTTCCTTTTAGCCTCTCCTCTGATAGGCTGGACATGGCCTGCAGATCAATGGCCTTTAATTCTGAGTTTGGCAGAGCTAAACAAAAGTCTTCCAGGACAACTACTTCTACCAAATTCCCTCTTGCTTCTACAGAAACAAACAAACAAAAAATTATATGGCATTGTTTTCTATGTCAGTACAACATTTTTAAAAAATTCATTTTGCTAAAAATGTACCATCTCCAAAATTTGCAAGAACTCTATAAGCATCATAAGGGAAAAGAGTGTGAATCACACTTGGATGCTACCTCCAGAAGAAGACCTTCAGGAAGCATACTAAAGCACATGAAGTGGCTGTGTAGCAGGGCATCCTTAACAGCAGAGAATGAAGAACACTTCAAAATGGTCAATTTTTATATACCTGGTTTTAGAGGAACATGTAAGATAACCATAAAAATTTATTTTGAGAGTATATGTTTCACAAAGTCACTGGAAAATGGAATTATATCTAAAACAAATAGAAATTTTACATTTCAAGAGAAGCTTCATCAAGTTCAACACAGTTCTGTAAGCAACAACACCAGCCATTCAACCCACTGTTAAAGAACTTGTGTATCTGGGGAGAACGACAGACACCGTTTAAAGATTTAAGATAGGGAGAGAGTGGGCATGGTGCCACAGCAGGTTAAGCTGTGCTTGTGCCATTGGCATCCCATATCAGTTCAAGTCCATACGTGATTTTTACTTAGAATTGTGGAAACTGAACCAACTGTTGGCTATCATGGGTGCTCTTCAATCAGACCATGAATGAGATTAGTTTTTGCTTCAAAAATTGATGCAATTGGCTTGCCACAACAGGCTGCAACTTCAACATCACCATGTTCCTTGACAAAATGAAGTATTCATTTGTTTTTAAGATTTATTTTACTTTTAACGGAAAGTCAGACACACAGAGAGGAAGAGAGACAGGGGGAAGATCTTCTGTCCATTGATTTGCTCCTCAAGTGGCCACAATGGCCGGAGCTGAGCTGATCGAAACCAGGAGCCAGGAGCTTCCTCTGGGTCTCCAACATGGGTGCAGGGTCCCAAGGCTTTGGGCCATCCTCAACTGCTTTCCCAGGGGACAAAAAGGGAACTGGATGGGAAGCAGAGCCACCGGGATATGAATTGGAGTTCATATGGGATCCCGGAGCATGCAAAGCAAGGACTTTAGCTGCTAGGTTACTGTGCCAGGACCCCAAATAACTTCTTAAACTAACCATATTTTGCTTATTTCTTGCATCATTACCTTGTCAGTGATTATAAAATAGGCACCAAAAGCAATCAACAAAACGAAACTTTCAGCCATGAGCTCCACATGAGCTCTTGCTGTGTTACTCATCATTACAAAGCCCTGCTAAGTTCAGACAGCAACAGGAAATGGAGACACAGAGGGTATGTATTTAGAAAGCTCAGGTACACAAATCACTCATTTTATTAGAGAAGCAGATGTAAAGTGGTCAATTAAGTGGAAGAAACAAGAACTACTTGGAAAAGTTTGTGAAATAATATTTAATATTGGTTGGCCATCTAAATAAATGATACTGAATAATGAAATCATGAACTAACAGGTGATCATTTTAAGGAAAGTTTCAGCTTTACCCTCACAAGTAAGTCTTTAAAAGCAATGAGGAAAAGTGTCTCAAAACAAGTAAAAATTGCCCCTTTCAAAGCCTAGCGATGGCTCCCCCACAGCTGCAGTGTCTGCAGAACTGCCCCAGCACAGTCCTGCAGCCCAGATGCAGCCTCCAGCAGTTCTGGTTTTACTTTTTCAGACAGACATCCAAATCCTGAACAGCCTGCCAAGGTCAGAACACCACCAACACCATGGATACAGCCCTGATGACAACTCCTCGAACTGTTCCAGGAACATGCTAAGCTAAAGGATATTTTCAAAGGGTTTTTATTGAGTAACATGTCAATATGCAACAAGGAAAAGAAAATGCGCTTTTTTTTCCCAATTTGTCACAGAGGGGGAATATCAGTTATGACTTGAGACTAGTAGCAAAAATGAAATCTTTTATTTCTAAGACGTGAGGGATGACAAAGATTTCAGAATTCCGATTCTGATGTTCAATCCCATTTTTAACATGTCACATTTGTGAAGGGGCTCTAGAGTCTGACCCAGCCAGCTGCCTTTTCCCTGCTTCCCTAGTCAATCCTCTATCTATGCAGTCCTGCAAAAGCTGCAGCGCCAGCATAGTCAAGTGTATTTATTCACAATCTTCCGCCCTGCAATGATCTTCCTGCCTGTTATCTCCAATTTTTAAGATTTATTTTTATTGAAACATCCAAGACCTACATTGAATCTCACCTGCGTGAGAAAAATCACCAAACCAGAAATAATCTCACCAGTTTTAAATTCTAAATTCAATTCATTTAAAACTTAATTATCTTTTTGCTATAGAGAGCCCTAGTTTCAGATTAGATGAGAAGGTCCTTAAAGGAATCGGAGCTGTCCTTTACTGCTTTCTGTATATAATTTTCAGATTCTAGCTCAGATGAGCACATGCTGATGGCCATTATCTTATAAACCATAAGGTCATACTCTGCTGGGAAGCTTCCTACACAGATTTCCATGTTCCTCTTAAGTGTATACATAAGTGGACATATTATAAAACTTTAGCATAGGAGGAGGAGAGAGGAGGAATGGGAAGGAAAGGGGGCAACCCTATACCTACATAACTATAAAATGGAAAATAATAAAAAGAAAAACAAGAACTTTGATTTCTAGAATTATGGGGATAAGCAAAGAGTGCATCTTCACCTTTAAAAAAAATGTACTCGAAAGGTAAATTTATAGACACACACACACCCCCCCCACCCTTCCAATGAATTAGTCTCCGAGTTAGTCACAAAGGCTGGGGTTGGAACAGGGACAGTCAGCAGGCAGGAGCTGAAGCTGGATTCCCCATGTAGGGAGAGGGGACTAAACATGTGCCTATCTTCTGTCGCTTTTCCCAGGCCATTAGCTGCTCTGAAAATGAAGCAGCCAGGACACCAACCTATGTCAACATGGCATGCTGGAGTCATAAGTGGTGGCCATTCCAGCTATGCCACGATGCCAGCAGGCCACTGCACTTTTACCTTTACTACTTTCCATCATAAATGAGAAATATTCTCAAAAAAGTCAGTACTGGGCAATTTAATCAAATTAAATTAGTGACACTAAAGGCACAAAGTAGACCTATAAAGTAGATTCTGATTTGAATCAAGCAACTATAAAATGACATTTTCTGAAAAACTGGTGAAATCTGAATATGGATTAGTTATTTGTCGACACCAAAAAGTTACTAATACTGGCATGTGTTATGTTACAGCACACTAACATAAAAATGTAATTTTTGGAGATGTGCACTGACATTTATACTAGAGAATTACAACATGAGTGATGATTCTGTTTAGAACAGGAACAGAGAGATTCGTCTTGCAAGTGCCAGGATCCCACATGGGAGCCAATTCCAGTCCTGATACTCCACTTCCCATCCAGCACACTGCTTGTGGACTGGGAAAGCAGAGAAAGATGGCCCAAAGCCCTGGGACTCTGCCACCTCGTGGGAGACCTGGAAGAAGCTCCTATTCTCCTGGCTTTGGATCAGATCAGCTCTGGCCTCGCAGTCATTTGGGGAGGGAATCAGCAGATGGGAGACCGTTCTCTTTGTCTTTCCTTCTCTGTATAAATCTTCCTTTCCAGTAAAAACAAATAAATAAACAAATATACTTATATTTATAAATTTATATGTTTATATAGATTTATTATATGCATATATAATAAATTTTTTGAAAAACAAAAGCAAACAAACAAAAAAACCAAGGTAGGGAGTGGCTAAATAGAAAGGTACCCACCAGCATGTGTGTGGGCTGGATAGTAAGGCTGATTGGGTTGAACTAGGCTTCAATGCCCATTGACATGTAGGAGAGCTAAATGGGATGTGGGACAGACTGGACCAGTCTGCTGTACATAGTGGCAAGCATGAGAACCAGGGTCAGGGCAGGTCTGGTGGGGGTTATGGGGAGATGGCCCAACTAGACTGCAGCTCCCACTGGTTTGCATGAGAGCCGAATATGAAGTGGGCAGGATCGAACTAAACTACAATACCCATTGGTTCAAGTGGATGATGGGGCTGGAAACAGAACTGACCCAGCAATTGCAACCACAACATGTGCATAAGCTGACTGGAGCGACAGACTCTGCTGGACCCTGTACTGGCAAACTCACACAAGAATCAGGTCTGGGATTACCTCAGACAAAGTTTTTTTGGAGATCCCTCCAACTGAACTGCTGATCTCAGAACCCCAACCATGAAGAGACTATGTCAGCCCGTGGATTCTGAAGAGATTTCATCATGCTTGGAAGGGCAAGACTGGCAGAAATTCAGAACTGTTGAACTATCAAAACTGCTTGAGCAGGACCCTCAGAGCATGCCCCACACAGGGGACCTGGGATGGGTGGGAGGTTTGATTGGGCTTTTCCCTTTGTTTCTCCCCTGACCTCAGATACAGGGGGGAAATTGATATTAGTGTGGAAACAATGGTATTACCCACTTTCCTGTAGCCCTTGACCCTGTATACCCTAATTAACTAAGTAAGATTATTTTTAAAAGAAAAAAAAAAAAAAGAAAAAAGAAAGAATTTTTTCATGTTAAGGAGAGCCACTATTATATTTCTGTTCAAACAAATGTATTTACCACTGATTAAAAAGCATATACCTAATATAAGTGTTATATTCACTTATTACCAAACATCAGAACATTGAAAGTCTAAAACCCATGGGATCAGCATTGTATTACAGCAGGTTAAGCCGCTGCCTGGGACACCAGCATCCCATATGGGTACCAGTTTGATTCCCAGATGATAACTTTCAATCTAAATCCCTGTGAATGGGTCTGGGAAAGCAGTAGAAGTGGCCCAAAGCCTCAGGCACTGCCACCCATGTGGAAGAGCCAGATGAAATTCCAGGTTCCTGGCACTGGGCTGGCCCTTCCCTGGCTGTTGCAGCCACTCAGGCAGTGTTCTCATTCTGTTTCTCCTCCTTCTCATAATAAGTAAATCTTTCAGACAAATAAAATACAATAATCTTGAAACTCTACACTTTAACCAAACTCTAATACAAACTGATTAATGTTTGAACATCATGTTTTTAAAAATAAAGGATTGTTTATTTTTATTCTAAAATTCAAAATTTTCTCTCATATATGATGGACCTTTTCTCCACCTCCATTCCTTGTAAAGTCAAAGACACTGTAAAAATTACCACCCATTGGGCCCAGTGCAGTGGCTTAGCAGCTAAAATTCCAGCCTTGCAAGCACCAGGATTTCATATGGGTTCTGGTTCTAATCCCGGCAACTCCACTTCCAATCCAGTTCCCTGCTTGTGGCCTGAGAATGCAGTTGAGAACGGCCCAAAGTCTTGGGAACCTGCACCCACGTGGGAGACTTGGAGGAAGTTCCTGGCTCTTGGCTTTGGATTGGCACAGCACCAGCCGTTGTGGTCATTTGGGGAGTGAATCATTAGACAGAAGATTGCCCTCTCTCTCCTCCTTTCTCTGCATATCTGGGGTGTATCAGAGTGGGTTAGACTCCAGCACACAGTGGTGCTTTGAGAGCCAGGATGGGTGTATGATGCGCTAGCTTGGGTCATGGCTTTCATTGAGCCACATGAGAGCTCTAAGTGTGGACCAGGTGTGACTGGGCCATAGCTCCCAAAAGCAAGAAAAGGAATGGGTGTGAGCCTATCAGGCAGGGCCACTGCTCCTGCCATGATAGGAGGTGGACCAAGTTAGCCTGGGACAAGGATCCTCCAGTGTGTGAGAGAGCTGCTACTGCGAAAAAATGTGATTGAGAGGCTTGGGGAACTCCTTTGTCGAGATTCAGTCCCTGTAGGTGAGCTCAAGCACCAAAGTAAAGAGCAGCTGAGTCCAGGCCAGGTAACATTATCCACTGGCATACATGTAGCCCAGGTCTGGGGGTGGGTCAGGCTGGGCCAGTTCATAACACCCACTGACAAATCTGAAAACCAGGACAGAGTTCGGGACAAGCTAGGCCAGGCCACAGCACCAGGCAGTAAACATTAGGACCAGCACTAGGAGTTGGCTGGGTCAGGTTGGGCAGCAGAACCCACCAGCACAAGTTGAAACTGGGGGCAGACTGGGCCAGGCCAGGTTACAACACCCAATGGCAAATGCCAAGGTGAGATGGACCATGTCAGACTGGCCTGTGGCACCCACCAGCACATGCAAGACCTTAGAAAGGGTAGTGCTGGGAAGGGAAGCTGTAGGGACTGACCTGTTGGGCACTGCTGCTGATGATGAATTGAGAGCTGGGATTGGGGGCAGAACAAGCTGGGAAGAGCTACAACACTTGTTGGCCTGCATGTGAACTGGACAGGGTGAGAGCTAGGCTGGACCTACTCACTATATCCACTACTGGTACAGGCATGAACCAGAATAAGGGCGGGCATTCTGGGCTTCAATGCAACATCAGTCGGCAAGTGCTGGAACAGGAAGCAGGGCCTGTCAAGCTAGACTGCAGAATCACCTGGAGAGTGCAAGATCCAGGTATGGGAGTGGGCCCCATAGGCAACTGTGGGCACCCCTCTGATGGGCTGCAACTCCCACTGGTGAGCATGAGAACCTGACCTGGAAGTGGACCTGGCTGGATAAGTGGTGGCAGCTGCTGGCATAAGTGTGGGCCAGATGGTGGAGTCAGTTGGGATGAGTTAGACGTCAAGGTCCAATTATGTATACAAGACCTGAATAAGAGGCAAGACAGAGTGGACCTGTCCACTGCACATGCTGGTAGATACAGAAACCAGGGTTAGGGGCCAGTCCAGTGGGGATAATTGGGGGGTCACTCTGGGCTACAGCTCCCAATGGTATATGTGAAGACTGATTATGGAGGGCAGGGTTGGGCTGGGCCACAGCACCCATTGGTTTGCGTAAGAAATGAGGCTAGAGATAGAGCTGACCTAGCAATTACAATTACCAGTGAAGAAGCAGGCTGATGTGGGTAACAGAATGAACTGAACCCTGCACAGGTGGGCTCACACACAAGAAATAGGTCTGAAATCACCTCAGATGAGATTTCTTTGGGGAGGTCCCCAACTGAACCACTGGACTTACGACTCCAACTATCGGGGGAGTGCCAGGACCTGTGGTTTGACAATGCAGTACATCTGTCACAGCCGGACCTCCTCAGTGGCTTTGATGGAACAGTGAAAGGCATGCCCAGAAGCACATGCAAGATGGGTCAGACCACTGGAGTCTGCAAAGGACACCTGGTGCCAGGGTGGAGGAAGGGGGACAGTACAAATTGATCAACCACCCCAGGGAAGCATGAATGAATGTCTGGCCAAAGGAGTCTTGGAGTTGGATTGTGTCAACCAATGGATCTTGGAAGGATATTCTCATCCTTGCATCTGTGACATCCACAGCATTTCAGAACTATCGAACCTACTTGGAGCAGGGTCCCTGGGGCATGCTCCGCATCAGGGACTTCAGGATGGTGTTAGGTGGCCGCTCCCCATCCCCGGGTGCTAGGGCGGTTGGGAGGCGGGTGTGGCTTCTCCCCTGTCTCTCCCTTTCACTCAGATACAGGAAGAGCGAAGGGAAAGTGTGGATTCAGGGGTCTCACCCATTTTCCCCTAATCAACTATGTGACTATTATCAAAAATAAAATCTAAAAAAAATATATATCACCCATCTTATTCCATTAGTTATTTGACCATTAAAAATGTGGTTAGCCTCCCCATTATTTTCTAGTCAAACTACATAATTGTTAAGGATATAAGCAAATAACTTATAAGTACAGAATAAAGATTACATTATTTGTACGCAAAGAAAGTTAAAGTAAAGGACATCTCAAGTGAAATCCACAAACCTTCAGCGATCATGTCTTCCATTTCTGTGTCAGACGAATTGTCTGCATGTTTTGTATTATTTTGTAGCTCTGGCTGAACACACACAGAATTCATCACCTGATTCTCCAAAAGAGGCCTTTTTTTCACAGGTTGTTCTATCAACAACGATGAACGGCTCACCTTTAAAAGAGAAGAAAATAATTTCTAGAAAGAAAATCCCTTAGAGGGAATGATAACTGTGATAATTCACTTAATTCAACTGACCAGACCCACTTACTGAGTAAGTAATTATTTTACTCCTTAACAAAGTTAAGCGATCTGAACATAAATGCTCACGTTTGGTCACCAGTAGAATGACAGCCTGTCAAATTTCACCTAGCATCTTAATTTGGGTTAAGTAGCCTTAAAGTCTTAAGCTCAGCAATTCCTTATATTCACAATTAATACAAATTATATTACCTTATACTGTAAGTATTTCAGTAGCTTGGCCCAATCTTGAAAATTTCAGGCAGTAGCTATCAATGTCTTTGGGGATTAGGTTTTATAAACTTCAGAAAATATTACTCAAAGAATACCTTCTAAACTCTACAGCATTTTTCCTTCACACACTTCAGTATTTTCCATATCATTGCCACACAAAGAAAATATCAACAATAAACTCTGTCTCTCCTCCTCTCTGTATATTTGGCTCTGCAACAAAAATAAATAAATATTTTTTAAAAATAATACACTTAATCACTTCAGTACCCCTAAAAAGAAAATAAAAGTTTACTTCAATGGACTAAGCTACTAACCACATTTCTCTAAAGCATGGCTGTAAGTTTACTAACCTATAACCTGAAATTTTTTATTTCATACACATCTAAATAGCTAACATAAAATTCTAGAAATATACCTGGAAACACGTGATGGATGTACAATAAATTCTACAGAAAAACTGACAACTTCCTGAAATAAAATACAAGTACTTTATAAGAGAAGCATAAAAGAGATAACTTTAAAATAATATTAAATGAGTATATTTTTTTTTAAGAAGTGTGAATGCTACTTACTGGGAATGGCTCCAAGCCCTCCTGAATAACAAAGCCTTCAATAACATGGGTCAAAATCTGCGGCTTCACAATAGCCTGGGGAGGCTTGTTTTCCACGTTGGGCATGCCACTGGGCAGAGACGCACTGTTACTCCTCGTGGTAGCAGCCGGAAGTAAGAGCGGAGGTGGAGGAACGGAGACATGAGAGGGATCTGATGGAGATTTAATTACTGAAGCACTGACCGACGCTACAGCAGGTAATTCCACTTGCTCTGGGGAGGAGGGGAGAAATAAGTCAATCTTTGATCTCCAGTATTTTGCCCAAATACAAAACAGAATTCAAGTATAAGTCCTTTCAATTAATAATGTTTCCAAAACCCGCTCTAAGAACTTACTTAATCTGTACAATAATCTTTAAATATAGAAACTGGGCATCCTACTTTACAAAAGGTAATTTGCTCAAAATGCACCACTAAAACCTTTGGTTTAAAAGCTGCCACCAGGAAGGGAGCAGTAGCATAATGGGTAAGGATACTGCCTATGGCGCCAACATCATATGATGGCAGTGGTCGGAATCACAGATGCTCCACTTCTGAGCCAACTCCCCGTTAGTGAAACTGGAAAAGCAAGAGGATGATCCAAGTCCCTCAGCCCCTGCACCCACATGGGAGTCCCAAAAGAAGGTCCTGGTTTCCAGCTTCAAAAATTGGCCCAGTTCCACCCATTGCAGCCATTTACGGAGTGAAGCAGCAGATGGAATACCTTTCTCTATGTCTCCCTCTCTAACTCTGACTGGATAATAAATAAGTAATAAATAAATCTCAAAAAAAAAAAAAACCTTGCCACAATTGGGCTAGTATTGTGATACAGGCGTTAAAGCGCAGACTAGGACATCTTTATGCCCTATCAGTCCCACTTTGAGTTCGACAGCTCTGCTTCGTACCCAACCTCCTGAAAATGTGCCTGGAAAAGCAGCAGATGCTGCCACCCATGTGGAAGATGCCAATGGAGTTCTGGGGCTTTAGCTTCAACCCACCTTGGCTGCTCAGGCCATTTTGAAAATGAACTAACAGGGACCTGGCACCGTGGCCTAGTGGCTAAAGTTCTTGCCTTGAACACGCCAGGATCCCATATGGGCGCCGGTTCTAATCCCAGCAGCTCCACTTCCCATCCAGCTCCCTGCTTGTGACCTGGGAAAGCAGTCAAGGATGGCCCAAAGCTTTGGGACCCTGCATCTGTGTGAGAGACCTGGAAAGAAGTTCCTGGCTCCTGGCTTTGGATCGGCATAGCACCAGCTGTTGCACTCACTTGGGGAGTGAATCATCGGACGGAAGATCTTTCTCTGTCTCTCCTCCTCTCTGCATATCTGACTTTGTAATAAAAATAAATAAATCTTTAAAAGAAAAAAAAGAAAATGAACTGGCAGTTCACACTAGACTGAAGCACTTCTCTCGCACCTTGCTAACTGCCAATTCTGTACAATAGCTAACTTTGTTAAAAATTTTTAAAAACCCACTGGGATAAGGTATGAAAATGTTTTAGATGATCAATTTATTAACAATTATTTTTTTAAAAAGATTTATTTTTATTAGTTTTTCATTGGAAAGGCGGATATACAGAGAGGAGAGACAGAGAGGAAGATCTTCCGTCCGATGATTCACTCCCCAAGTGAGCCACAACGGCCGATGCTATGCCGGTCAGAGGCCAGGAGCCTCTTCTGGGTCTCCCATGCGGGTGCAGGGTCCCAAGGCTTTGGGCCGTCCTTGACTGCTTTCCCGGGCCACAGGCAGGGAGCTGGAAGGGAAGCGGGGGCTGCTGGGATAGAACCGGCACCCATATGGGATCCTGGGCATGCAAGGCGAGGACCTTAACCACTGCGCCACCGCGCCGGGTCCTATTAACAATTATTAAAATTTCATTTTTCAAATTTAAGATACATAGAAATTAAATCCCATATGTTCCTAATGATATATCCCACATAGTTTGTCCAGGAAAGATACTTATACAATTAAAAAATATATATACATATATTTTTTTAGAAATTAAGTTGAGATTATTACCCATAACTTCAAGCACAAGACTACCTCCAAATCCTCACACAAATGTTCTTGTTGTTAATAATTCTTCAGAGCTCCATAATCGTTAGTTTTGAGGTTCACACAGCATAGTCAAGTACAAAATGTTGGGCTAAACCACCATGATTCCCTCCCTTCCATTTCTGAGGAGTATAACAAGACAGAAATGATCAGCTGTGACAGACTGTACCCATTTGGTATCACCAACCCTTTACTGCCTGAACAAGAGAGGAAAGATAAAATTAACTGATTGATATTTAGGAATATCAGATAAGTGAAGACGTCTGAGAAAAAACTTGCTGAACATTCATTATCAGGTTCTTTAGGTTAAATGCTGGAACACATTTATCCCTACAAGTAGCCTATTATAAATTACTCTACTTGTAATATTTTGCTGCATTAGCACAAAATGGACTAGAACCTTACACTAAGTGTAAATTGGTTTATGTAATAATTACCGCTTTGTGTATGATTTACTTGAAAGGCAAAGGAAAAAAGGATGGGAGTGGGAAGAAAGAGAAATAGAGAATGACGGGGGAGGGAGATAGAGAAGATGGGAGAGAGGGACAGAGAGGAAAGGAGAAGGGTAAGAAGGCAGGAGGAGGATGGGAGGGAGGGAGAGGGAAAGAGGAAGGGAAGAGGCAGAAAGAGAAGGAAAGATTTCCTAAATATCCACACAGCTGGGAATGGGCCAGAACACAGCCAAGACTCCAGAATTCAAGCAGGTGTCCCACATGCGGTCAGAGATCCAAATATCTGAGCCAAAACCTCAGCTTCCCAGGACACTTGTCAGTAGACAAGACTTAGACTCCAGTACTGCAAAATGAAACGAGGGCAACCCAAGCACTCTCTCAACCACTGTTCTAAATGCCCATCATTTTATTATGCATACACATCTTACATTTACAGAATCCTAACAGATCTACACTACTTTCTAAAGAAGCTAATAGCAATCATTTATCAGTCAATAATAAGATAATAATAACCAACAACCTGAAAAACATCATTATATGGCAATAGGAAACACAATTATTATATCCTCTAGATTTAACACAGGTGTGAGAGAAAATTCAAGTTAACTGATATGATTTTGCCTCAGGCTGGTCTGTCTATTCAGTCCCATTTCCTGAGCAAGAATTATGAGCATTTTTGCTTTGTTGCATGGATGCATTTTACTTATAAAGGATTGTTACAGAATTACAAAAACTGACTCCTAAATGGAATCAAGCCTATTTTTCCACCTTGATTTAATTCTCAATTTGATGAAAGTTATTCTAAATAAAACTTGTGCATCTCCTCTTCCATGCATATGGAAATGCACAATGACAAATATCAAGAGAAATTAAATGAAGATTCAAAAATCTATACTATTGTTAGCCAGTTTAGCCAAAGGATGTGCTCGACAGCCTCTCAGACTATACTCCCCAAGAACAAAGTAAAGGCATTCTTGTGTTCCAATATTTCAAAAAAGTCTGCTTCCTTTGAGTACCACCATGCTTATTCTATAACTAACTTACAATCACAATGCTAGTTTAATTTCAATTAAACTTTATTTCTATCCTTAAATAAAAAATCTAGGATATTTGCAGCAACACTAATCCTTTTCTGTTTTAAAAAAATTTGATAGACTTTGTTAAGGCTCTTTTGAGGTACTAAACATAGAAACTGTCTTAAGCTTTTTATATAATTTTATTTACTAAACACTTTCTATTTCTCAGGAGAGAGAAAAAGTTTAAAAAAAAATTCCCCTGCTATGCTCTTTGGAGATTCAGATTAATAGTAATAGAATCAGAGCTTGAGAGAAGGGAAAGGATGTGACATACTGAAGAAAAGGGGCAAGGACAGAGCAGGGGGGACCCCAGAGTGGAGCAGGCAGACAGGAGGAGGCTTGTATTGCAACCCTGAAGACTCCCAGATCCTCACTAAGGACTATCAGTACGAGCTCCGAGGACTACATCCCAACCGCCAAGGAGACCACGGGGAATTGGAGTGCCTTCAGAGGCTGAGAACGCTGAGGTCACCCACCTCCACTTGGATCTCCCACATGGGATGGAAGGAGCCCAAATCCTGCCTTGCAGGATCCAAGGTCATCGGAACGGCAACCAGGAGCACTGTGTGGTCCGCAGAAACAAAACAGTAAACTTCCTTTGGGACTAGGGGGAGGAGCTTTCTCTGGTTCTTGCCTGGTTCCAACTTTGGGTCCCCACCCTCTCTCGTAATGACCATCAGGATCGCTCCAGAAACCCCCCAAAACAAACTAACAAATAAACAAAATAAACAAACAAAAAACCCCCTAGAATAGATAAAGAACAACAAGGAAAGCTTAGAAATAGAAAACGGGCAGTGAGGATGCACTTATAACTCACTGGGTAGGACACATAGATTAGTTACTCCTCACTACGGTATTGAAGATTTCTCTGCACACCCCTCCTAAAACTGTTCACCTAAACTGTTGACATATGTCTTGTTAGAGTTATAGAGTTAGACTACCCGAAAAACAGCTAGGTTCTGCAAAATCGTGCTTCAATGCTATGAACTGCTAAATGCTAAAATTAAAATAGACATGAGACAGCTGAATAGTAATCTATAGCCATTTTAAGGTGTATAAACCCAGTTGTATATAAACTAATAATTGTAATGTCAATGTAGAAGCCATAGGATGTGGTTCAGGACTTGCACTCTTTTTTTTATTCTCTTTCTCTTTTAACATGCTGGTTACATAATACCATGTCAACTAATTCCATTATGTTATAAATTGTTATTGATGTAATGTCAGGGTTTTTAATTGATTGGGATGATACTCTGTCAGCTCTACCTTCAGACCAGAGACGGTCTCCCCAAGAAACCGTTGAACTTATCTGGACAATAAGATGCTGGACTCTATGCTTTGTAGATGCTTGCAAGGAAAGAATCTCAGCTGAATTTGAACTGTAGTAATGAAACAAGAATCCACCATGGGGGGGGGGCAGGTTTTGGGGAGGGAAAGGGGGAATCCCAGAGCCTATAAAACTGTGTCACATAATGCAATGTAATCAATAAAAAATAAATTAAAAAAGAAAAAAGAAAAGAGGCAAGGGTTGCCTTGGTAGCAGACAAGATCAGTATCATATTAGTTTGTTTTCATGCCAATTACACTGGTGCTTAACTGAAAATGATCACGATGGCCAGGAGATATTCAGTAGTATGGACTGCATTAACATTGCCTGAACCAAGATTGCATTGTCTAAACAAGGGTCAGCAAGTTCTCAGGGAAGATGGTCTGTGCAACCACTGAGTTTTGTGTCCATTAGCACAAAAACAGCCACTGATACACTCTGAAAAAACAACTACTGCTGTAATTTCAGAGAACAATAGTTGTATGTATTAACAATGAAATTCAAAAGCCATGTAGTTTTCATATCATGTGAGCTGTTACGTTTCGTTTTCTTTTGACCAATCAAAAATTCAAAACATCTTATTGGGCCACATGAAAACAGACAGTATTGCAGCTGGAATTGTGGCACAGTGAGCAAACCTGCCTGCAATGCCAGCACTCTATATGAGTGCCAATTTGAGTCCCAGTGGTTCCACCCTGCATCCAGCTTCCTGCTGTTGCCTGGGAAAAGCAATGAAAGATGAGCCAAGTGTTTGGGTCTCTGCCACTTATGTAGGACACTCAGATGAAGCCCCTGGCCTGACCTAGTACTGACCATTGCGGTCATTTGGGGAGTGAACCAGTAGATGGAAGATCATGTGTTTGCGCTCTCTCTCAAAGTAAATAAATAAATTCTTTTAAATATTTATTTTTATCTGAAAGGCAGAGTTTACAGAGACAAACAGGTATTACATCTGCTGCTTTTCTTCCCAAATGGTTGCAATGACCAGAGTTGATCTGTTCCAAAGTTGGGAACCAGGTGCTTCTTTTACGCCTCTCACATGGATGACAAAAGCCCAAGAATTTGGGCCACCCTCGACTGCTTTCCCAGGCCATAAGCAGAGAGCTGGGTGGGAAGTGCAGCAGCTAAGACATGAATTAGTGTCCATATGGTAAGCTGGCGCTAGCACACAGAGGATTAGCTTGTTATGTTACCATGCAGGCCCCATAAACAAACCCTTTTTTAAGATAAAATTAAAATACACAATAGAAAAGGCCTGAATACAGAGCTATAGTCTGACAGTCTCAATCTGAGTAAAATATACAGGGCAGAGAACTAGCATGGCTTGGGATACCAGCATTCCATATCAGAATGCCTGGAATTGAGCTCCAGCTCTCCTTCCTATGAATGTATATCCTGGAGAACAGCAGGTGACCATTCTAACACTTGGGTCCCTGCCACTACCATGCAGGACCTGAAAGGATACAGCTACAGGTTCTGGCTTCAGCCTGACCCTGCCATGCTGTTGCAGGCATCAGGCAACGAACAAACAGATGAAAGATCTCTCTTTCAAATAGATGTTAAAAATAAATTTAAATGAAAACAATATCCTCATAAAATTTTAAAGTTACAATGAAATTCTTCTGTTTTAGAGCTCAAGCATTAGACTATAGGTTAGACTAATGCTTTGCTAAAAGGTAGTGTCACAAAAACTTTGAAAATTTGAAGACGAATGTACAGGAGATTTATTTGAACACAAAAGTAGCACTGAAGTAGCGAATAAGAATTCAAAAGTTTATGTCCAAAAACATATTTGAACAATGTTCCAGAACACTGTTAAAAGCATTCATTCAGTCTGAAACACATCAATTTTGAGAAAAGAATGCATTATGGCATTTAGAAGGTGCAATTCAAAATCAGCTATGGACTGATTTTTAAGCTACAAACCAATCAACCCAAGACTCTGAACAAGCACATGAGACAGGTTAGTAAAAACAACTCAGCATCAGAAGACTGAAATGGTATCTTTTTCATTTGGATGATATTAAACACTTTTGAAAGCACAAGCTTCCCTCCCACTATGTATTTCAAAGTTATTACTTGGCTATTATTTACTAATTAACCAATTTCTTCATTAAAAAAAAAAGAGTTGGAATCTAACCTACCTTTTGCTGCAATAAACTACAATAGCAGTTTAATACCAGGTACAACAAGAAAATAACATTTTTTTTTTCATTGCTAACATTAAGCCAAGGGGAAAATTCCTGTAGATTTTGGTATTTCCTCACCTAACAAAGGATGTTCAGCAGTCAGATCCTCTCCTCTGCCCACAGTGACAGCCGCTGGGGACAAAGTGGGTGGTGGCGGAGTCCTGTCCATTCGCACGCATTCATCCGTCTCTTCCGCCATTTCTTCTTCACACACATCTTCCACCTGATAAACCTGCAATGACAAAGCACGCTGCGTTAAAATGCTTCCAGAACTACATTTGATAAAGGTAGCTAAAAGACAGTCCCCAACTTAGTTTTAAAGGTTAAATTCTAAATAAAATGCTACAAAATAAGAAAAAATGAACTATTCTGACAGGCTTAAAGGAAAGATTTTAAAATCACTCAAATGAAGTTTTCCATAGTATTTGATAATACTTTGTGGGTCGGCTATATAAGTCAAAAATTGCTGGGGTTTCCAAAAAGAGAAGGGTTAACGCTACATGTATTTTCAACTTTGACAAAAAAAAGGTTTAATTTTATACACTCAAGCAACTATTTCAGGAATTCCACTGTTGCCTCTGCTAACTTTTAATTTTCATGAATCAAAGGTACAAATATTTTTAATAGGCTGAGGAAATGTAATACTAACACAACCATCTCAGACTCTCCTTTTATTTTTATATGAACTAAAATTAAATTATGAAAAGTGACATCAAAGTGTCTGCCAAAAAATAGGCAGCTATATATTTTCTGTTCTCAAAAATCTAACAAAAATCATATGCTAATATCATAACAAGAAAATAGCTTAAAACAAAAATTTTCTCTCTAAGCAACTAAACACACTGATGTCAGTTATTTAATATTATTCCACAGGTGTGGAACAAAATAAGCTTTATATGACACCATATCATTCAATTGTAAGAACAAGACTTGCAAGGTGGATTCAAAGAGCTATATGACTAGAAATAACTAACTTTGACAGTTCATAAATGTAAGGCTTAAATTTCAAAAGATACTTCTAGAAATTGACACAACTATTTCATTATAATTAATTATTTATATAACCACTATTTATGAAATATCATTAATCATCAAAAACGAAGCCACAAAAATAGTTCACTTCCCTTTTATTTACAAAAGTTCTTAAATTCACCAGACTCTGAATCTCTTTAAGGATAGTTAATGAAAATGACTGATATTTTAATAAATGTGAAACAAAAAAGCCCCTTCAAACAACATTCACAAAAAAATTTTAACATGTAACAGTGTATCAACTAAACTACTGAAAAAATTGATGAAGTATGTAAAATCAAATATAAAAGTGACCAAGACTTCTAAGACCAGCATAAGCTTCTGAAACCAGCATAAGTCATGTGCTACAACAGGAATGAAAAATTTCATTCATAAAGAAATATCTAGCAGGCAATAGTTCTAAAATTAAAATAAATATTTTTCCATTTTAAAAAACAATCCTACTATTACTGATGACGTTATATCAAATACATTATCCACTCCTGTGGACTCAAATCTGCCCACGTTGCTAACAGTTTTCAGTTGTTTGCTGACTAGTCTGCATCAGGAAATCTACTTCAGCAGGATATATTATTTTGCTTCATATCTATACTTCACATATGAAAACAGCCATCCATTATTACACAGGGCAGCAGTGACAGCTGACACCTTTCCTAAAATTATAACTAAAAAAATTATAGCTTAAAAAAAATAGTGCTTAATATAGGGAAAACTGTCCACTAAAATGTCTGGGGTTAACACCACCATCAACTGTCTAGTTCTTGCAAATGCCTGCAGCAGCTCTGATTAACCACCTGAGTAGCAGGGATGTTAACTCAGGGTAGTTAAGTGAATATGGCTCCATCAACCAGTTCAGTTTAGTATATAGTAATACTTCAGTATAAAGTAATACTTTGCCCCCAAAGAATATAATTCTTAAAATGCTGAAACTCTTTAACCTCTATGCTATCACATGTTTTTCAAATATCTGCCATGGTTTCTTTAAAAGAATCAAAGTTTACCATGCACAGAGTTATTGCTTTATTTTTTAAATAATAAGCTTATTTTTTTAAAATAAAGGATGGAAAGTATATTTTGAATTAATCCATCAAGGAATACTATAAAATGCTATTCATTCATTATGGTACAATTGTGTAAAGAAAAAATAGGAAAAAGAAGTAAGCAAAAACAAATCTGTCACAATCAGCGCAAAAAAAATGCAGCAACTCAAATATTCAAAAAAGCAAAGTGGAGGTTCTGCTCACCAGATCATTAGGAAATCACACATCATAATTTCTATTTCTCTTCTAAAAATAACAAAGACTGCCAAACTTACCTCAATAAAGTCCATTATTCCCATCTGTCTCCCTTTCCTAAATAAACTGAGGAACATTTGTTTATTAGTTCTACAATATCTACTCTCAACATAACGCACTTACACCTATGTAAAAAAAAATCTTGCTTTTAAATATACCTTTTTTTAAATCATTGATTTTACATTGACAATTCCCCTTTATCTAGATAATTTCACATCTCTTAAATATTTCTCCCTATGGTTATTTAAAATAATTAGGAATATGTAATATGTGAAGAATTGTACATAGATGGTAAAAATAAACTCGGCTGAAAGGAAAAGAAAATATGCAGCAATTTAATAAACAAAGCTATATTACTGAAAGAAAGATAAAAAGGTAATATGGAAACATCTATGGGTAGGCATTGTGGCACAGCGAGCTAAACCACAGCCTGAGATGCTGACATCTCATACTGACCCCAGTTTGAGTCCCGGATGTTCCGTTTCTGATCCAGCTCCCTCTTAGTTTATCTGGGAAGGCAGCAGGAAGATGGCCTAAGTGATTGAGCCCCTGCACCCACATGCAAGATCTAAATGAAACTCCTGGCTCCTGTGCTCCGCCTGGCATAGCCCTGGACGTGTGGTAATAGGGGATGGGGGCTTAACCAGCACATGGAAGATTTCTCTCTCCCTTTTCCTCTTTCTCTGTAACTTTGCCTTCCAAACTAAATCTTTCAAACGAAAGGAAGCATCTACAGCAAGCACAGAGACCATGTCACTGAAAGCAGAGCAAGATACTAGTTTTATGGTGAAAAAAACTTGTGAATATGAGATATTTTAAAAAACAAAACAGGATAGAACAAAAGAGAAACTTAAGTATTTTCAGCCTGAATTTCATTACTAAAAGTATTCATTTGTATTGTATTTCTCTCTTAAATATCCTCCTCCAAAGTTCTCCTAATAAAAATTCAGAAAAACAGAACTTGTAGAAGACTTACTTGTTAAAAAACAAATCACTGAGGTGGATATTTGGCAGAGCAGTAAAGGCACCCAATGAGATGCTTTCATTATTGGAGTGCCTGGTTCAAACTCCGTTATTTCTTCCTTAAAGATTTATTCACTTATTTGAAAGGCAGTTACAGTGAAGAGAAACAGAGAGAGAGCTTCCATCCACTGATTGACTTCTCACATGGCATCAATGGCTGGGACTAGGACAGGCCAAGGCAAGGAGTTTCAGCTACGTCCCCCACATGAGTACAGGGGCATCTCGCACTGTTTTCCCATGTGGTCAGCAGGGAGCTAGATTTGAAGTGAACCGCTGGAGCTCAAGGCACTGACTCTGTTGGTGACACAGCAGGTTAGGAACCTGGTACTTAGGTTGCTGCCAACCATGTGGAAGACCTAGCTCATGATACAGGCTCCTTGTCTTTGCTCTGGCCCGGGCGTTGCTGTTGCCCATCATCACTTGAGTAAACCAGCAGATGAAGATCAACCTGTCTTCATTTCTATCTCTCTCTCTCTTTCAAATGAAATAAAAATAAATAATAAAGGACATAATAATAAAGAACAAAACAAATAGCTGAGCTAGAAAATGAAAATAGAACTATATTAAATATGATTTAAGAGTACTATATGCTTTCTAAGTATTCTTTTCTAACAATATCCACTGTAAACGCTTCAAACCCAATTCCATGAGTGAAAACTTATTTCCTTTGTTCATTGCGCCATTTGTCAACTTGTTTTGAATAAAAGAAGTGAAACTTAATTTCTTTATGCCTAATAAGATCACGTTAAATGACAATAATTATAAATTTGAATCATATGAAAGAACAGACTTTGAAATTCTTCCTTTCTCTCTGAACCTTTAAGTTGAAACAATCTTTTCAAAGAGGCTAAATAAAAAACTTCCCATTAGGAAAATTTTTCTCAGAAATTATAAATCTGATCTGATCATTCTAACCACTGAAACTCAACTTTTTTTTGTAAATTCTGGAGTGTTTAATTTTCCTCTCTAGGTAACACAGGATTATTTCACCACAAGCTTAATTACTTAAAACTTCTTTCAGTGGCTTTTTTTTTTCATCCTCAGAATTCAACTTAGATTTTTTTTAACTTTTTCAATGAGCAATATTTTAAGTATATATTTTCCTGTAGGCTTAATAAAGAGAGGAAATCAGAAGTTTAATAATTCTGATATCACTTCTCAGCCTTTTGGCTAATATCAAGTGTTCTGATAGTCTGCAATGTTCGCAAATTTGCACTATTGCCTATAACAAAATTTTCAATAAAATTTTATTGCCAAAATACAGTTGTATGAAAAATATATAAGCATACCTCCTCCACCTTGGGATAAAATCCCCTCAAGGCCCAGGACTTCAGAATGCACACAACCAAAAAGGTCAGCTAGATAAATCATACCTTTAAAAACATACAAGCCAACAGAAGGGATCTATGAAGGATAATCACCTTAAGAGAAAAAACTTTGTGCAGATGACACTGGTTCAAATGCATTCCCTTGGGGAAAAAAAATCAACTCTGTAAAGATAGCAGATGGATTTGTTTAAATAGTAATAAAATTAACGAGGGACTTTAAAAACCACCACAAATTATCAAGCATGCAACCATACTAAAACAAATGGCATTTTTTTGTGTGTGTGCCCATATAGTATGTCAGAATACTGACACATAGAAATTTCAAGCTTTTTTAAATTGGTAGGCATTTAGATTTAGCAATATAATAGTGTGGGAGAAAATAGCTTTTACTTTCAGTTCAGCAAGAAAGTCAAAGAGCTTCCAAGGGCTTACCACTGGTGGATCAACAGGTGCTGGTGGCTGTACTTGTAGATTTACCGCAACGGTCTGTGGAGGAGGAAGAGTCTGAAATGGCAACTGGACCAAAGCTTCTGCAGCTGGAAGCTCCTCTTCTGACACCAAAGCATTCTGCACTAACACCTGGCCCTGGGACAGAATTTCAGGCTGCACTTGTAAGGACTGCATTGACTGCAAGGGCAGTGGTGGGATCTGAGCTGGAGGAGATGTCGACATCTGTGGAGGGGTTGCAATTGGGATTGGAGATGACTGCAGGGTTGAATATTGCTGGTGTGATGTTGGAGAAACGATCTGCTGGCCTGGGGAGACCAAGGCAGATGGCTGAACGGGGCCAATGTGTACAACAGGGGAAGCTGGAAGTGGAAGATGGGATGGAAGGTTGAGCTGTGCTGGAGGTTGTACCTGATTAGCAGCAGATTGCTGCAAATTTGGCCCTGGCTGGAGAGCTGATGACACCAGAGGGTGTGGCTGAATAAGTGCTTGTGGGTGGATAATTATAGTAGGAGACTGACTTGGTGAATGAGATGGTGGGGGAGACACCACCACAGACTGCTGTGCTGACTGTGACTGACTCGGAGACACTGTTAAAGGAGAAGGGTGACTCTGGATCGGTGAACAATGCTGTGACTGAGCACTGCTGGGAGCTGGAGGAAGGCCATGGTTCTGGAGTGGAATACAGTGCTGCGATGGGGGTGGGTCTTGACTCGGATTCGGAAGAGTGATCGGCTGAATTTGCTGTTGCTGCTGTTGTAGTATCAGCTGATGATGTGAAACCTTGGGAGGTGGTGAGTGAAGAGGAATCTGCTGATGTTTTATTAGGGAATGAGGCTGAATTGGAGAATAAGATGCTGTGAGAGAAAAAAAATTACAATTAGTAGTGACTTCAAAAGCATAGAAATGTTCAAACAAATCTAAAGGAACAAAGTTTTCACATCAGAAGACCATAACCACAGAACTCTATCACAAGTTTTCCAGACAAGGATGATTTGAAATGGGACAAGTTTCTCTAGGAAAACTACAAAAATATCACAAAATAATCTGCACTGTGGTAAATGCCAAAAGGAAACTGCCTAAAACAATCTATTCATAAATCTCAATGGTATGGCATACATTCTTACTAAATTCCATAGCCCATCAGAATACATGCATTAAGTTTTACCAACATTCATCCATTTAAAATTCTTCAGAGTAGGAAAAACTATTATCACAGAACAAATATAGTACATACAGATAGCGTCAATATGAGATGTTCCTTTCACAATGCATAAAATACAGATCTCTTCCTTTTTAGTCTGTGCCTAGACAGGCTTCCAACTACTAACAAAGTAATTACTCCTAAAAATTTTCTATCTGAGTACCTACATTTGACCTGACATAAGGAGTCTATGTATTATTTAACTGAGGAACAAGGAAGTGTTTTGTATAATAATTAAATGAAGCAAAACAATGTGTAAGTCTTATAGCAGAGTTAAATATTTACTGCAACAACTGAAGCTTGCAAATTTGCCTGCAGAGAATGAGGCAATAAAAATCTCATGCAATCCAGATATATGTCTTACTTCCTCCTTTCCCTTAGGCAAACCACAAGCTGCACAGTCATTTCTAAGTAATGACATCAGATGTTTTCTCTACAGAGGAGCCACAGGAATAAATATTTAAGAATGAGCATAAGTAATACTCCCAATATTCTCTCTATATACATGTTCTTACAAAGGAAGATCATGGCGAATCTTCCCTATATGAACTAAGTTCATTAGAAGATAAACTGAAATCATCACTTAACAGTAACATTATGCAAACAATACAGATATAAAGAGGGCACAATCTTTCAGTAATAAAAACATATCGAAAGATACAGCACAATCTTTTCCGTAATCATAGAATATTAAGACAAACACTGAATACAGACCAGTGAATTTAATTTTATATTTAATATTTGTGACATCAATATTATAAGTACTCCAATTTTTAAAATATCTTTGCATCTGATTATTATCTAAAATGTTAACTTTACCATCTGGAGGAACCATTTATAAGTTTCAACATGTATCTACAAATCATGAAAGTACTGAAATTAAGCCTAGAATTTCATCTAACAAAATAATTTTCACATAATAATTAGATAAGCACTGCAAACTAAGACCTTAAAGTTTATAAGCCCTTTATAAATGTGTTTATAGATTGTTATAAAGTATTCAAAAAGAATAAATTAACAGTCTTGTATTTCTGATGAGTACCTTTCCCCTCCAGGGGTCAAGTGCTTTCACATCACTCTCACTTGTACTTAGATAAAACCTGGGCAGCAAGTAAGTGTTCCTGTCCTAAGGAAAATAGGAATTTTTTGCAGGCATAAAAGCAAAGGCCCATGTGAATTCAATTTTTAGGGAAGCCGTTTGGCTTCTCAATTGAGACACCAGGTTGGGAAGCCTGCATCAAACAGGGGAGTGCTCACATTGGAATCCTGACCCCACAACTGACTTCAGCTTTCCGCAACTGCACAGCCTGGGAGGCAGCAGGCGAGGGCGCAGGTAACTGGGTCCCTGCCGCCAAAGTAGGAGACCCAGGTTTGACCTGGCCGAATCCCAGAAACTGTGGGCATATGGAGAGTGAATCCAGCAGGGAGCAACACAAGCGTGAGAAGCTAAGGAAAGGATCCAACTTAAGAAAAAAAAAAAAAAAAAAAAAAAACATGCTGTAACTACAAAAGGCGGCTAGGAGCAGTTTAAAATGACAGTATCAATGCTATCAGCAAATGTGCTGACTTCAAGAAAAGCTCAATCCTGGAAAATTCTAGGATGAACAAAAGAGACAGGAAGGAAGATGAATTTGGATGGCACCATCACTTTCAGCTGGAACCATGCAGGAACGTCATCTATAGAACGAAGAGGGAGCAGGTGGGCTTCAAAGCTTGACAAGAATGGAAATGACTTGGGCATCCTTTTCCTTTGACATCTTTCAAGCAGACAAAATCACGTGGTAGGGAAAACAGTTACACATGAGCCTTATTTTCATCAAATGATGAATTCCTCTCACTGCTGGTAACTTAAGCAAAAGAATATATTTGCTTTTCAAGAATCTTTTTAAAAAGTTAAAAAGATTTATCAATGTAAGAAGAGAGTAGCACACATGAAGATGTCAATTCAATGCTAAATAACAAAAAATCTATTTTATTGCAATTTGTCTCAGTGAATCAGTTTTTATAAACTTTTCTATTTTCAAGCTACATAGCAAGATGACCTTTCATGAGCTCAGGAAACTCATATTTTAAAATGCATTAACTGTCAGCACTTTGTGGCACAGCATGTGAAGTTGCAGTTTGCCTCAAAGCATCCTATACTCTTGAGTAAAAGATCAAGTCCCAGATGTTCCACCTCCAGTGCAGCAGAGGCTGGCCCGACACCTGGGGCCCTGCCACTCACATCAAAGACCAGGATGGGACTACAGCCTCCCGACTTTGGCCTTGCCCAAATCTGGCTACGGAGCCATTTGGGAAATGAACCAAAGGATGAAAAATGAATGGAAGATATAGCTTTCTTACTCTTTCAAATAAATAAATCATATTTTGAAAAGTATTTTGTGCCACTTTCGTTCAATCAGGGCATACCATTCATTCTAAGAAAATGAATAAACTATTTTCAACAAAAGTTTTATCCCACCTGGTGCTATTAATTGGTGAATACTTGATGTCCGGGTGACAGCTGTGCTTCGTGATTCCAGACTTGGGCTTTCTCCTTTCTTATTGCTTTCAGGAGAAGGGTCTCGTTGGCTGATTTTAGAACTGGTCACTGTTGTTTTGTTATGACAAATAGTCAATGACTGGGTTTGACTAGTACTTTTTGGTGGACCATTCTGGGAGCTAGATAATACACCCAACTTCTGGCTTCGCAATGTTAAATTCTGTACCTAAGAAGCACATAACAGAATATAAGGATGAAACCCGATGATGTTAATTGATGTGATAATCATTACCTCTATAACAACAACAATAACACACTTACATGATGCTTTTCATTCACAAAGCTCCAAGCACTTTGTAACAACTGATTAATTCAAAGATATGATAGTTATTCTAACTATTCTTTAAAAATTTAGTGGAAATCATTGGGAAGTAAAGGAAAGGAGAGGGGAGGGGAGGGCAGGGGAAGGGAGGGGAAGGGAGGGGAGGGGAGGGCAGGGGAAGGGAGGGAAAGGGAGGGGAGGGAAGGGGAGGGCAGGGGAGGGGAGGGAAGGGGAGGGGAGGGGAGGGGAAGGGAGGAGAGGGGAGGGGAGGGCAGGGGAGGGGAGGGCAGGGGAGGGCAAGGGAGGGGAGAGAAGGGAGGGGAGGGGAGGGGAGGGGAGGGGAGGGGAGGGGAGGGGGGGGGAGGGGAGGGGAGGGGAGGGGAGGGAAGGGAAAGAATGAAGGAAAGGTATGAGAGGGAAAGAACGGAGGACCAATACTGAAGAACTAAATAAAAACAGAGAGGGACGGAAAATGAACTGTGAATATGAGGAAATTATTTCGATTTTTCTGTTTTGTTTTGCTCTGTTTTACAAACAAAAGTAAATAAATTTACAAAAATTACAAGTGGTACAAATTGAGACAATGTCTCCTGTTCACAACAAAAGCTGAGATGAGAAAATGACTTTGTAACACACATACTGCACTAAGAAGTCATAAACTCTTAACAGTACAGATCAATAAAGGGTCATCAATTTTGTAAGAAAATTAATTCAGTCACCTATCCATTGTGATAAATATGAAAAGGATTTTCAGAAAATTCCTTTATAAATAACTTCAGCTTTACTAATGTTGTTACTGAACACTCAACTGTGATTAAGAACTAGATCTCACATCCTAAAAGCATTGTGCAGTCCTGAAAGGGGTTTGTATGATGGCTCTGGTCTACACCATGAACAATCCTGAACGTATACTCTCTCAGGAGAATGACAAGAATTATTCCAATGACTCTCACCTGACATTTTTATTCCTAAACAGCAATGGTAAAAACACCCTTCCAATGGTATTTCATTTCTTGCTATCTGCAATGAATATTACCAAATATATTTATGTTAAGACCGACCAAGAGAGGAAAACTGCACTGAGAGATTTCAAAATGTCAGAGTACAACTTGCAGCAGGAGCAGCCTAGGAGGTATTCAGCCGTGGGGCTTGAGTGGAGGGAGCCCTCAGGGGTGTGGTGGCTGCAAAGGGTACATGAGCCAGGTCAGACTCAATGCTTGGGTCTCTGGCCATGGCCACTGCCACCACATGGTGAATGAGTCTTGGGTTTTGGGCGCTGCCCAGCAGCGAGCTCTAGGGTGTTTGGGATATGTAGTTGCTGCATAGGGACATCCATGGATAAGGCCAATGTGCGTGTAAGTGAGGAATGAATCCTGTGATACTTCCAGCAAGAGTCACTGAACTTGCAGGTAAGCATGGGACTGAGACCAGGTGGTTTAGAGGGGAGAGTCTGGCAGATCTGATTGGGTAAGACTGATTATTAGCCTACACAGGAGTCCTGAGATAGGCTGTTAGTGCAGAACATTATTGACTGCCACATGCCAGCCCACATGAAAGATATAGGTGGGGGGCCTGTCTGGCAGGGCTAGATCCCAGTACCTGACTGCATGTTGGAACAGGATATGGGTCACATTAGACAGGGTCATGACACCAACCAGCACGTGAGAGAACCAGGTCCAGGGATAGATACTGCCGGGGATAAGTGAGTCCAACCCGGTGGAAATTCAAGTCCTGCTGCTTAGCTTAAGAGTTGGGGTGGAGATGGGCTGAGCTTGGAGTGACCATGAAATCCACGAACACCAACAGGTGCTAGGGCTGCAAACAGGCTGGGCAGGTCCAGGCTGTAGTACCCGCACGTGCACCATAAAACAGGATGGGAGGTGGGCCAGGCCGCAACATCTTCCAGCTCATACAAAGGCCAAGATGGAATGGCAGGCTATGCCAGGCAAGGGTCTAGAACCTACTGGAGCATATGAGATCTGGGTCAGGGAGTGGGCTGAGTGGAGAAACCTGTGAAACTCCCCTATTGGGGCCACAGCTACTGCTGGTGAACACATGTTCCAGGATTGAATGTTGGGCCATTTGAGCAGGGTTACTCCAACCGTTGGCTAATGTGTGGAATGATTTTGATCGGGGGTGACCAGGTAGGGCCAAGCCTACCTTACCTCACCGGCAAGAGCTGAAACCGGGCTGGAGCACAGGTCAAGCTCAGCTAGGTTGTTATACCTACCAGTATGTATGAGCCTAGGATGGGAGAAGACAGAGCAGGGCCAGGTTCTAGCACCCACCAGTGAATGGTGGGACTTGGTGTAGGCTGAGTCAGGCAAGACTACAGCATCCAAAGCCAAAGGTCATGACAGGTGAGGGAATAGGCCAAACTGGGTCAGAGCTACCAATGCCATGTGCAACATCTATAGTTGAGAATAAATCTGGTTGGGGAGATCAGGGGACGCCCTGGCTGGGTTGTGGTTCCCACTGGTAAGCACAGGGCTAGAATGGGAGCCGTGTTCTGGTCTGGACATGGCTGTAGTGTCCCTTTCAACAAGTGTGGACTGGAGGTAAGTGTGCCAGACTGGGCACCCATTGGTGCTCATGAGGACCAGGGTAGATATAGGATAGGCTAGGTAGGTCTCTGTCCCTTCTGAGCCATGTCTACATGTGGACCAGACTAGACTAGGCTGTAACACACAACAATAATAACTGGAATGGGATGGGTGGATGCTGGTCAGGAAAAGCCATTGTTCCTGCTAGCACAGGAGATGGATTGAGGAAGGCTGGCCCATGGACCAAACCATGTGCACAAGATCTGGCATTGGGAGAAGTTATGATGGAGGAGCCTTGGAAACTTCTCTGTCAGGACACAGTGCATGCAGGTGAGCGCAAGGACCACAACATGGAGCAATCCAGACCAGCCCAGGGAAATGAATCCAGTGGCATACATATGGTGCAGGTCAGGCGCATACCAGGCAGGGCCAGTTCACATCACCCTCTGGCGAATCCGAGCACCAGAAAGGAGTGTGGGTCGGGCCAGGTCTGGTCGCAACACATACCAGTATATTTGGGCTACGAATGGGTGCTGGCTGGACTGGGCTAGGCTGTAGCCCCCACCAATCTGAAATGCAATTGGGGATGGGCCGGGCAAGGCCAGGCTACAGCACCCACTGGCAAAAGCTGAGGTGAGGCGGGCCACACCAGACTGGGTCACAGCACCCAACCCAGGACATACAAGACCCAGGAGGAGGGGGCAAAATTGATATGAAAGAATATGGGGGAAAACCCATGCTGGATCACCACTCCCAGTGGAGAGTATGAGTTGGGATGGGGACAGACCAGACCCGGCAGAGCTACAACACCTGCTGGCCTCATGTGAGCTGGACCAGGAAAAAGCCAGGCTGGGTTGACTGTTTCGACTGGTGCAAGTAGAAATCAGAGTGGGTAACAGTTGGTTGAGCTTTGCCACAGCATCAGCAAGCAGATGCTGACACAGGAGGGCAATCTGTCAAGCCAAACTGCAGACCACCTGGAGAGTGCATGATCCAGGAGTGGCATTGAGCTCAGTAGGGAAACAGTGGGCACCTCCCTCTTGGGTTGCTACTCTGTCTGGTGAGCATAAGAACCAGGACTGGGGCTAGACAGAGTGTCACTCATCAGCAGGTATGTGGGCTGGATAGTGGATCTGGTTGGGTTGAACTAGGCTTCAATGCCCAATGACATGTATGTGAGCTTAATGGAATGTGAAACAAACTAGAACAGTCTGCTGTACATAGTGGATAGCATGGAAACCAGGGTAGGTGGTGGGCCTGGTGAGGGTCAAGCAGAGTCACCCTACAAGGCTGCAGCTCCCACTGGTTTATGAGAAGGCCAAGTGTGTGGTGCGCAGGATGGGGATGAGTTCCAACAGCCAATGGTTTGTGTACAAGACTGGGCTAGAGGCAGAACTGACTCAGCAACTGCAACCACCAGCATATGCATAGGCTGATAGGGGTAAAAGACTATGTCTCTAAATTGCTGCAATGGCTACGTCTGGCTGCAGCCAAGAGCCTGGAAATCCATCTGGTCTCCCACGTGGGTGGCAGTGAAGTGTATCAAGCACTGGGGCTGTCTTTAGCTGTCTTTCCAAGAGCTTTAGCAGACAGCTGGGTTGAAAGTGAAGCAACCAGTACTCTAACTGTGTCTCTGTCCCTTCTGAGCCATGTCTACATGTGGATCAGGCTAGACTAGGCTATAACACACACCAGCAGATGGAAGATCTTTCTCCTCTACAAATCTGACTTTAAAATAAGTGAAAATCACTCTCTTCTCCTTCTGGCTTCCCTTCCCCTCTTCCCTGCTATTCTCCACGTGCCCCAACCCCTCCGTTCCTGCCCCACTGAAATAAACCTCCTAAGATACCTCGTTGGGTCTTGTGTTTTCAGCTCATGCTAAAGAACCAGGTTGCGTGGCTGAAACATCCAACAGCAAGAACCAGAATGAGTTGAAGGCCAGTCAGGAAAAGCCACTGTTTCTGCTATGACAGGAGGTGGACTGAGTAGGGCTGGCTCATGGACCCACTGGTAAGTGTGAAACCTGGCATTGGGAGAGGTTCTGATGGAGGAGCCTGGGCAACTCCTCTGGCAGGACAAAGTCCCGGCAGGTAAGTGCAAGAAACATGATAGGAAACAGCCCAGAACAGGCCATGGGAAGTTACCCACTGGCATACAATTGGCAGGGGTCGGGAAAAGATCAGGCTGAATCTGTCCATGTCATCGACTGGCAAATCCAAGCACCAGTGTGGGTCGAGCCAGATTCGGTCGCAACAAAGACTAGCGCACAATATGGAATGCCAAGGTGAGGTTGCCTATACCAGAAGGGACCACAGAGCCCAAACAGTGTGAGAACAAGGAAGGAAGTGGGCAGAGCCAGCA